ATAAATAAATAAATAAATAAATAAATAAATAAATAAATAAATAAATAAATATTAAGTATAATTGCAAGGCAGAATCAATTTGTGTATAGAAAATGGAAGTTTATTATTTAAACAAAACAGAAAAGGGTGGCCCAGAGATAGCTTACAGAGACAAACTTAATTTTTTTTTTTTCCTTTGAGACAGGGTTTCTCTGTGTAGCCCTGGCTGTTCTGGAACTCACTCTGTAGACCACGCTGGCCTCGAACTCAGAAATCCGCCTGCCTCTGCCTCCCAAGTGCTGGGATTAAATGCGTGCACCACCACTGCCTGGCTTATTTTTATTTTATTTAACCATAGGTGACTGAAAATAATTCTTACCTTGCTCAAGACAGTATAAACAGTTCTTAAGAACCTTTGATTTTAGTGATGAATTACATTTTCAGTGTACTTTTGATTGTAGAAATGTTTCCAAAAGACTACAGTGGCAAAGTTCCTCCCCTGCATATCTTAGTAGTTGTTTTAACTCTGAAGTTTCTACTATGACCTGGGATGTACACACCAACAAGGGACTATCTAATTAATAAATAATGAGACCTCATTAGAATTCTTCTCCTCCTCCCTAAATACAAGAACCTTCATTTTTAACAGAGTTATGCATGTGATTTAGGAGTGTAGCATAGGATAGTGTCTGTCTCCTTTTTAATGTGGGCAATGCTAGTACAGGGTTTTAGGTACTGCTTGCTTTTTTGGTATAAATTTTTGCTTATGTGTACTCTTAAAAGTCAAACTTGTGTTTTATTTAATAAATTGTCAGGAACTCTAAACTATGGACTCTTTGTTTTCTGTTGGCTTACAGGGGTTTAGTGGGGCAAGAGTTAATTTATTATTTAAATTATTTATTATTATTTCCTTAATTTATTATTTATTTATTATTATTAAGTCTTGGGGGCAAGCCTTGTCTGCTGCTTTTGTTTCTGCAGGGATCCTTTCTGTTGCACATGTAGTAGACAAGGAGATTGTAGCCATGTGTACTTGGGCCCTAACAAAAGAGTCACTTTGAACAGAAATTTGAATTTATTTTAGCCATTCTTTATCACTAGCTGAAGAGTGTTTCTATTCAATCTTTGACAAATTATTTTCCACCCATTAAACGAGCATTGGGAAATAGTATACAGTAGTGCATCTCTCACATATGTTTTTGCCTATGTAGTTTTGAAAATGTCTATTGGGGTTTTTCATAGCCTTTAAGATGTCAGAGTAGTGGGACAGTGAGTAAAGAGTGGAGTCCATAGAGATGCCATTTTTGTAATTTATCAGTATTCTAAGTTTTCTTGTATAAGAATAAAATCTGAAATTTTCTTTAATTTACAGCATTTGGCCCTGGCTAATTTCTCTTCTAAATAGTTTCCATCCCCGTGAAGATGATCTCTCAAGTACTAATGGTAAGAGATGCCTAAACTGTGTATTGTCTTCTCTTACTCTATCAGTAATGGGAGGTTGAAAACCAACGAAATTGGGCTTTTGGTGAGGCTTGTTTGTTTTACTTTAAGTTTGATGTTTCAGAGAGGCTCTGACTTCTGGTACTGATGAAGTGACTACATGTGGGTAATTTTCCTAAAGTCTCCTTGGATACTCATTAGAGTAGACATTCATGACCTTTAATTTCTGCCCATTTTCTTCCCCGTCTCTTCATCATTACTAGCTGTTTGGGAGTTTTGTTTGGTTGGTTTTAGGTTTATATATTTTACGTGTATGAATATTTTGCCTCATATTCATACCATGTATTTTCCTAGTGTCCATGGTGACAGAACAGGGGCTTGAATTCCTTGGAACTAGAATTACAGACAGTTGGGAGTGGGTGCTAGAAACCAAATTTGGGTTCATGGAGTACTCTTTAACTTCTGAGCTCTCTCCCCAGCCCCACTAGTTTTGTTTTGTGTTGTTTTGTTTTGTTTTGTTTTAAGGAAATGATGTGAACACCAGTCTGGCAGATATCTACACATCACAGAGAATTTAGTACATAAGGCATAAAAGACAGACTTTGCCAATAGATTTCCCATAGCATTATATTTTATATTCATAGTGCATAATCTAGACATTCTCCTGTGTACAGACATAGGAGTCATGTACCACTTCAGACATGCTTTTAAATTTAGCAGTGTAATGTTAACATTTTCATTTGCTGCTAACCAGTTTTTACTGACTTCGTAATATTTTACTTCATATATGTGTCATAGTCTATTATCCTGTCCTTGACAATTTTCTTATCAAGGCCCTGAGAAGATAAGTCAGTAAAATGCTTCACTTTTCAATCATGAGGACCTAAATTCAATACCTAGAATCTGTGTAAATAATTTCCTTCATACCTGGAATCCCTCTACTGGCAAGCCAGAAACAAGAGGATTCCAGGGCTCTCTCTTGCCCACCAGTCTAGCCTAATTGGATAGTTCCAGGCCAATAAGAAACCTTTTCTCAGAGGAGGTGGACTACATTCCTAAGGATGACACACCTGAGGCTGTCCTGGCACACAAACATACATGTGTACAAGTACACACTTTCATAATTTAAATTTTCTTCATAAATAGTGCTATACTAAGCAGCATGGAGCTTTTCCCTTCTTTCATCATTAGTAATTTGCAATGAGTTACTGGGTCTGATTTGGAATGTTTGGAATAATGCCCAAGATTATTTCTCGTACGCTCTCACTGATATTACTGTTGTTGCTGGATAACTTACGTCACATGTAACCTAAACATTGGGCTTACTAGATTTGATAATGAAGCTCTAGATTCTGTTTTTGATTGGTTTGTATAGACATAGCTGTCCTGAAACCAGCCTGTAAACCAGGCTGGCCTTGAATTTAGGGATCCACCTGCCTCTGCCTCCTGAGTGCTGGGATTAAAGGTATTGCCCCACCTAACTAAAATTGTAAATTCTTGAGAGAACAGATGAGGAAGTTCTTTGTGCCCAGCAACTTGAGTGTTTGGTATTGAATGTTAGGGATATCTAGGGCTCAGAGGTGACAGTCTGCATTTCCTTGGATAACTTACTTATCTTTATAAGGTGCTGACACTGGAGAGCAGAAAATGGACATGAAACATTCTTCACATACCTTTTATTTATTCACTTTTTTAATATCTTAAAAAATAATAAGATTTTAATTGAAATATTTGCAAATTTTGGCATCTTCCTTTCTTTAGCCACACCACTTCCAGAGGAGTTTGAATTACAAGGATTCTTGGCTTTAAGACCTTCTTTCAGGTAAGTAGTTTTGAAGTGTTTTCCAGTGTTAAAATTTGTAGAAATCTGGCCTACCTGTAGAGGAGTCTTTGATTTGTCCCAACTGTGTCATCTTTTCTTTAACATTTGTTGGTTGGTTGGTTGGTTGGTTGGTTGGTTGGTAGGTAGGTAGGTAGGTAGGTAGGTAGGTAGGTATGGGGGTCAAGGAAGTGGGATATGGGCATGGTTTGTGTATGTGGGTAGGTGGTGCGATCAATGTGAAATATTTCAAAGAAATACAGAATAAAGAGATGAAAAATAAAATTGTTCTCCTAGGTGATGCTTCACAAATTCTACTTTTTTACTTCCCTTAAAATTAAGGGTTGTCTTAAAAGGGAACCTTTCAGCCATGCATGTTCATTCTTATATTTTGAGTCAGGGTCTCACTATGTTGCCCGGACTATCATAGAACTAACTTTGTAGACCTGGCTGGCCTCAGACTCAGAATCCCACCTGCCTGTGTTTCCTGAGTACTGAAATTAAAAGGTTTGAGCCACTTTACCAGGCTACTTTATTTTTAAGTAAAGTTGACTATATGTTTTTGCATATCAGTAGTAGTGACAGGGCAGTGAGTGTGGCTCAGTGGGTTAGAATTCTTGTACAAGCATGAGTGTGGATCCCATCATCCACATAAAAGCCAAGCATACTGTACTCCAGTGTGTAGCTGGAAAGAAAGAAAGAGAGAAAGAGAAAAAGAGAGAAAGAAAGAAGAAAGAAAGAAAGAAAAAGAGAGAGAGAAAGAAGGAAGGAAGGAAAGAAAGAAAGAAAGAAGGAAGGAAAGAAAGAAAGAAAGAGAGAAAGAAAGAAAGAAAACAGGTTCAGTGAGAGACCATGTCTCAAGGGAATAAGGCCAAGAGTGATAAAGACATCCATAGTTCCTCTCCATGTGAGTTTGCGCATGTTTCCTTCTACGTTACACACACCAATTTTACAAGAAATTAAAAAAAAAAATCAGCAAGGAGGCAAAGTAACCCCCTTCTGCAGTCCCCCCACTCCCACTTGTCTCTTTCCACCCTGCCATTTGGTCTACTTCTGTCTTGTTCTCTCCTCTACCTTTGCTATCCTATCCCCACCTTTTACTCTGCTTCACAGTGTATCTCCCACTGGGTTTTTTCCCCCATTTCTTCCCAAATAGCTATCTTCCTTTAGCCTACGAACATGTTTTTGTTGTTGTTGTTGTTTATTCTATAAAATAAAATTCACAATCAGTTTCTGTCTTTCTCTGTTGCTGTGCATTTCTCCACACCACAGATTTTCCTAGGAGCAGTTTACTGACTCATTTCTCAACCTGCTGATACTTAAAACTAACCTTGTTGTCTTAGTCACCAAATTCTAATGGCTCTGTTCTTACAAAAGCTATGAATTTATTTTTTTTGTTAGCTACTTTAAACTGCTACACAAACAGTCTGTGAAGGTTTAATCCTGAAAATATAATCCTAAGATTTAACTTCTAAAAAATTAAAGCAAAGACAAAAACAGTTTAGTCACAAATACTGTTTAACATCTTTGTAACAGGTTATCATTCCTGCTTTATTCATTTAAGCATTTTTAAAAATTATTTTATCTTTTTTAGTTCTTGTAGCATAAGGTCCATTGACACACTTTATTTACCAATTCAGAAATTAGAAAACCCATTGTGTTTTGTTTTCTTTTTCTCATCAAGGGTTATAATTCTATTACCAAAATGCCTCTAATATTCAGCATTCTCAAGTGACTACTGACAGTGTCTCATGACAAAATCAAAACTCAAGTTTACGTATCGATCGTTATTCTGGATCTCCTTTAGCTTGACGTCCAAGTTTGAAAACTGTCCACCTCTCAGTGCCTCCTCACACGTCAGCTCTCACTCACCCGCTCACACCATCCCTTTAGCTCTACTTCTGCCTCCTCTTTCCCCCATCCCCATTACTTATATTTACTGTGCACTCACTGTGTCCTTCTGAATAGCTCTGTATTTTTCTTTGTATACTTTGTTCATGCTACACTAGAGCTTCTTCTACACTAGAGATACCATCTGCTTCTTGGCCTTCTCCCTACTGTCTTGGTCAGTAGCTGTTCTCCTGATAAGCTCCAGCTCCAGTGTCACTCAGAAATCTTCCCATAGTTTTTTGGAAGGAATTCAGTTCTTTCACTTTTTTTTTTTTTATGTGGTTTTATTATAAGGTTACTGGGTTTAATTTTAACTACTTTATCTCAAGATGGGAACTGTTTTTCACTTATCTTTGTGTTCTTAAGCCTAACTTGTTCAGTGACATTTTGGATTGGAGATATGCGTGATTTCATTATGAAAAGCCCAGGGTGTCCTGAAACCTGCTGTCCTGCCTCCCAACTCCGAAATGTCAGAATTACAGGCATACATCATCACCCCTGACTTCTCTTTATCTTTTAAAATTAATGACGGGAGATCTCAGGAACCCCTTTGCATATTGGGTTACTCTCTGTCCATATACTTTATAACAATTGTACACTTTTCTGATTTAGAGAACAAAAAGTACAATGATAGTTTTTGTAATAGGTACCTCAGGAGCCTAGAGATAGAGAGATGGCTAGCTAACACTTTTTTGCTCTTGCAAGGGGCCTAGGTTTGATTCCCAGTACTCACATGGCAACTCAAAAGCACCTGAAACTTCAGTTCAAGGGAATCCAATGCCCTCTTCTGGCCTCATGGGTTTCAGGCATACTTGTGTGTGTGTGTGTGTGTGTGTGTGTGTGTGTATATAGCAAAACACTTCATGCACATAAAAAAATAACAGATGAAGAAATGTGTATCAGAGACTCTTAGTTGTCTGAGACAGTGTTTATTTTTGTAGCCTTGGCTGTCCTAGAACTACTTGGTAGACCAGACTGAAACTGACCTCAAGTTCACAGACACCCACCTGCCTCTGCCTCCCAAGTGCTGGTATTAAAGGCATGCATCACCACCGCCTGCATATAATGATTTTTTTTTTAATTAGTCAAAGTATTTAGAAAACGGCTATTTGGGGTTTCATACAATGATAGAGCTTTTTCCTGGCATGGACAAAGACATGGAGTCAATCTTAGGACTCCAAACAAGCAGAATCTTCAATAACAAAACCTATGGATTATTTGACTTATTACCTAGAAAGTAAAATATTACATTAATATAATGAACCTTGATTTTATTTCCTGCTTTGTTTCTTATATTTGGGAATACAAATTCAAGCAAATACAGTTGATCACTTGTAGTCTATAGCCTGTGTGGGAAACATCTTGATGTATTTACATTTGGTTTCCTGGAAATTTTCTTCAGTATTTAATCTGTTATGATGTGCTATGTTATTTTTAGGAACTTGGATTTTTCCAAAGGCCATCAGGGTATTACAGGAGACAAAGAGGGTCAACAACGACGAATACGACAGCAGCGTTTGATCTCCATAGGGAAATGGATTGCTGATAACCAGCCACGGTATGCCCATGGCCTACTCCTGCACTCCTCTCTGATCCCTTTATTTGTCACACACATGTGTACCTCATGTATGTCTTAGACTTTGTTATAAAACTGTGATGAACTAAGTATTGGTAGCATACCTTGTTGGGAGATCGCAAGTGTATTTAGTCTCTCTTCTCCTGTTGTCTATGAGAAGAAGAGTTAATCTTGCTTTTCTTATTTATCATGAGCTGTTCCAGTTTGTAAACATCTGTATTATTTGAATTGGATTGGACATTGTTGGGTCCAGTGAGTGATTTGTGTGGCAAGGATGTGCTGGTCAGTTTCAGTCAGGACAGAGCAAGACCGTGCTTCTAGCACTAGTTAAAGACAAAGCAGATGAGGTTGCTAGTGTAGTGAGAAGAACACAAGTTTTGGAGTCGGTTAGGTTCGTGTTGTTTCTAGCTTGGATCTTTTCTGCAAACCTGGCATCTTCCTGATGGGACATATCCTGTTCAGAGTCAGTCAGCTACTATTACTTCTTAATGTTTGTATTTAAACTCCTGCCATGCTCTGTGCACTTGAATGCTTGCATGCTTATCATACCATTTCTGGGCTTCACTTTTATCTATAAGTATATATAGCTCCCTTATAGGCTATGTCAAGAACAGGTTAGTGTCTTAAATCATGCTCAGTAAGTGTGACCACAGTTACTAGAAGAGGAAAGATAGGAGACTGAGTGTGATGTGGTGATGTGAAATAACACTCACAAGAGTCTCAGTTACTGAGGAATACTGTTCATGCTAACTGAATCTGTTATCATTATAGTCTCTTTCCTTGGTGATTTTGTCTGTTTGTTTGTTTGTTGTCTAAAAATAATCATTGAAGTTACACACAATCCACACAATTGAGTTACTGGTTTTTGTAGTTTATGTTTTTTATATATGAACTTATTCTTGCTTTTTTAGGCTGATTCAGTGTGAAAATGAGGTAGGGAAATTGTTATTTATCACAGAAATCCCAGAATTAATACTAGAAGACCCCAGTGAAGCCAAAGAGAACCTCAACCTACAAGAAACATCTGTGATAGAGTCACTAGCTACAGATGGGAGCCCAGGACTGAAATCAGTGCTGTCTACAGGCCGAAATCCAAGCAACAGCTGTGACTCAGGAGAGAAACCAGTGGTCACCTTCAAAGAGAACATTAAGCCACGAGAAGTGAACAGAGACCAAGGAAGAAGCTTTCCTCCCAAAGAGGTGAGAAGGGACTGTAGCAAAGGAGTAACTGTAACTCAGGATGACGGACAGAAGGACAGCAGCAAGAGGAGAGCTGAGACCAAGAAATGCACCTTAGGAAAGTTGCAGGAAACAGGAAAGCAGAGTGTGGCAGTGCAGGTAAGCTGTATTTGAACTATAAAGCAGGGAGAGGAAGGCTCACACAAACGGCAAGGTTTCTCGATTTGTTCATAAAAACCAGAACATTAGCCATTCTGAAGTTTAAGTGCATTTTTTTTAACCTATAGGAAGGTATGTGTAGACAAAGCCGTGGTAGATGGTGACTTTATCGTTTGAAGGAGTACCTGTGTCAGTGACGTTCTCCTTAACTAAGTGTTCCACATGGGGTTGTATTTTTCTTTGGAAAGTATAATTACCAATTAATATTACAGAAGAGTTTTGGGGTTTCATAGCATCCAGTAGAATTAAAAGTATATTGGAGCTTTCTGCGTGCCCCTCCCCCCCCCCCCGAGTTATTGCAGGCTGTGTGTGGTAATAATATACACCTTTAAACCCAGCACTCAAGAGGCAGAGGCATGTGGGTCTTTGAAGTAAGAGACCAGCCTGATTTTATATACTAAGTTCCAGACTAGCCAGGGCTACATAATGACCCTAACTCAAAAACAAACAAGGTTCACTGTACAAAGTAAAACTTAACTTTTTGAGAAAAATGAAGCACCTTTTCTTGACATAATATTTTGAGCCAGTGGTGTTATACAGTAGTATCCTGGTTCAAAAATTGGTAAAAAAGACCTTAAATCTTGTTTGAGAAAAGCACTTCCCAGCTACTTATAACCCTTTTTATACCTTTCTAAAAGGGATACTGTTGTTCATTTCATGTAATACAAAGGATCTTGATTTTTATTAATACCATTAATATTTTGGTGACTGTGTAAGAAGCTGTGTGATTTGTTAGCTGATTGTGTGGCAAATGTAGCTGTGTGTCTTGTGGACCTCTATTGCAGTAGGCTGCTTATCAGCAAGAGTGCCCCGCTTGATAGAATGGGGGGGGGTGGCAACAAAATGTGGTTTCCCTCTTTTTTAATTTGTCGTGTGTTTTGCCGGTACACTTGTGTACATACATATATATGAAGGTGAGAGAACAACCTTAGGTGTCATCCTCAGGAAGGCCGTCTGCTTTCTTTGAGACAGGGTCTCTCATTGACTTAGAGCTCAGCAGTTAAGCTAGACTAGCTAGCCATCGAGCCTTCTTCCTGACTCCTCGCCAGCACTGGGACTGTAAGGGCTGCAGCTGATATTTTTGCTGGGTTTGGAGATTGAATTCTCATTCTCCTCGTGTACAGGCATTTTACTAACTGAGCCATCCTCTAAACTACACACACATAGGAAATGGCCTGAAGAGAAGAAAAGGCAAAGGAAACAAAAAACAAAACCCCACCAAATAAGTAGACCCATGTTTGAGGACTAAGTCTAGCATCTTCTGTCTATCCTCTGTAATGGCCTCCCAGTAAGGCCCACACTGATAATAAAAATCTCCTTTTCTGTCCTCAGTCCTTCTCAAATCTACTGGTAGATAACAAAAGTAAATCTGACATACAGGTGTGGCAGGCAGTACATTCCTGTAATCCCAGCATTTAGAAGACAGGCAGGAGGATTGCAACACATTTGAGGCTCGCCTAGGCTACATAGCAGGACCTCTCAACAATACAGAATGACAGTTTGCAGACATATGATTATCATGCTTTTTTTCTGTACCTGTTTTCTTGCCTTTTGCTCAGCCTTGAGGACTGCCCGTGGCACCTCCTTGTTAACTTGATATTTAGAACTTTAAGCCTGTTTGTTGCTGCTGAAAGTGTTCTTACATTTATTTAAAGAGCCTTAAGAAGTGCTGCCTAGTTAAAATTAAACCAGGAGCCATGATATGTCACCTATGAGATAAGTTTTCATTAAATCAGAATTGAGCATCAAGAGCCCTAGCTGAGTCGGCTAGTCTTTCAGCCTGTGGGTATGAGATATCTCACTTGTACAACAAATGATTTCTACATTCCTTTTCCTTATTTTTCTGTGATTATAAGAAACCAAAACAAAGCCTGGCAGTGGTGGCCCAGGCCTTTAATCCCAGCACTTAGAGGCAGGCGGATTTCTGAGTTCGAGGCCAGCCTGGTCTACAGAGTGAGTTCCAGAACAGCCAGGGCTACACAGAGAACCCCTATCTCAAGAAACAAACAAACAAAAACAAAAAACAAAAAAACAAAATAATTGTGTTAGTAAATGAAAACCTTTGTTTCTTTTACTAGTAGTTTATTTTAATTTTCTTCTATTAACGTATATAAATATAGTAAGGTTTTAAATATTTTTCTTAGAGAAGGTACTTTTTTCTAATATGTGGGTACCAGGTTTTTATGGTTAGTTTTGGTTCTGTTGATTGTAGGTAAAATCTCAGACAGAGCTAAGAAAGACTCCAGTGTCTGAAGCCAGGAAAACTCCTGTCACTCAAACTTCAAGTCAAACGAATAATTCTCAGTTCATCCCAATCCATCACCCTGGAGCCTTCCCTCCTCTTCCCAGCAGACCAGGTAAATACACATTCTTCTGCTTGATTCCTTTAGTGTGGGACTTTCTGTTCAGTCAGTCACTGGATAGTTTGTATTCTTAGGGCAGTGTTACTAAGCTGAACTACAAAGGGAAAAAAAGTTCAGCTTCCCGAATGGTTAAGGGACTGTGGTTGAGTCATTTCTATGTAGTTAACAGATTTGTGCTGGTCAGTTACTATGAAGATTCCTCCATGATGTCATTAAAACATGAAAGTATCTTTAGGAGAGTGATTACTTTATGTTAGAGGAAAAGAAACCAATAGTTTGTGTTTCTTAATGTCATGTTAAAGACCTGCATTGTTGCTTTTATAATATGTAAGAAGCACCCTCTTCTCAAATTTTGCAGCTTTCTTTTGTCAAGTTTCTTTAGAACTAAAGCTATGTTCTTCTGTTTTGAAGGGTTCCCGCCCCCAACATATGTTATCCCCCCTCCTGTGGCATTTTCTATGGGCTCAGGTTACACCTTCCCAGCTGGTGTTTCTGTCCCAGGAACCTTTCTTCAGTCTACAGCTCACTCTCCAGCAGGAAACCAGGTGCAAGCTGGGAAACAGTCCCACATTCCTTACAGCCAGCAACGGCCCTCTGGACCAGGGCCAATGAACCAGGGACCTCAACAGTCACAGCCACCTTCCCAGCCACCCCTTACATCTTTACCAGCTCAGCCAACAGCACAGTCTACAAGCCAATTGCAGGTTCAAGCTCTAGCTCAGCAACAACAATCCCCTACAAAAGTCATGCCAGCTTTGGGGAAAAGCCCGCCTCACCACTCTGGATTCCAGCAGGTAGGCAACAGTGTACTGTCAACTAAAATGGCAAGGAATGCTGAGATAATTCCATGTTTGAACATTAATAAATAAATGCTACTTAAGTTTGTGTTGTTAGGAAGGTTAAATGTTTGCCCTCTTGCTTTATTTGCAAATGGTGATATGGTAGATCCTATGTCCATGCTACTTAATTGCTAGCTCTATTAAAGATTTTTCTGTAAATCTTACTTTCTTAATGTGTATACATGTGCAGGTTTGTGGGTAAGTGTATGTGTACGTGTGTTTTGTGCTTTAGTGTGGAAGCTGGAAGATAGCATCCTCCTTAAAAGCTGGAAGATAGCATCCTCCTTAAAAATGCCTCCATCTCCTTTCAGACAGGGTCTCATTTGCTATAGCTCACCAATTAGGCTAGGCTACCTGGCCCTAGATCTTCCTGTCTCCACCGAGTGTATAAGCATGTGCCATCATGACCAGCACTTTTGCATGGGTTCTGGGGACAGAACTCAGTTGCCTTACCAGCAAAACAGAAGGGGGAGCATCTGTCTGATGTGCACATTCATTAAACTTTTTAAGTAATTTAATTGAAGAAAGATGGGAATTCAAAGTCCTTGTCTTCTCAAAATCTCTGAAGAAGTAAGGGAGCTCCGTTTTTGCCTAGAGTATCAACTGTCAATGAGATTGCAGTTTATCTTCATCTTGTTGACAGGCTCCTCTTTTTTAGTATCAACAGGCAGATGCCTCCAAACAGCTGTGGAATCCCCCTCAGGTTCAAAGCCCACTAGGGAAAATTATGCCTGTGAAACAACCCTACTACCTTCAGACCCAAGACCCTATAAAACTGTTTGAGCCGTCACTGCAACCTCCTGTAATACAGCAGCAGCCTCTAGAGAAAAAGATGAAGCCTTTCCCCATGGAGCCATATAACCATAATCCCTCAGAAGTCAAGGTCCCAGAGTTCTACTGGGACTCTTCCTACAGCATGGCTGATAACAGAGCAGTAATGGCTCAGCAACCAAATATGGACCGCAGGAGCAAACGGTCACCTGGAGTCTTCCGTCCAGAACAGGATCCTGGGCCCAGGATGCCATTTGAGGTATGTGACTGTTTCCATCACCAGGTTCTGTGGAGATCGGCCTGGGGTTGTATAACTTGAGAATGTCTCAGATACACACAGCTTTTTAAGTTGATACATAAAAAATGGATACATATTTATGAGAAGTAAACATTATAAAGACTATTCATGGTATACGACTTGGCCTCTTAAATCATGTGCTTAGTTTGGAGAAGAGTTCAGTAGCTGAACTGTATTACTGAATTGTACTGGTCTGGCAGAAAAATTATCTAATGGCATTGTGATAAGAGAATTCTGAGAAGAGCTCCTTAGTTGGGTTGAGTCATCTAAATTTAAAAATAGGTCTCATGGATATTTAAACAAATTAAGTGGAACAAAGTCAGTTATCTTCTTTCTCTTTATGCAAGAGAAGCAGGTGCATACACTGGAAGGGCTGCTGTCTGTGTTAATTTCTCTCTAGCTGCATTACCGCTGTGTCCTGCTCTGTCTTGTGTCTCTGTCTTCCTTCACTGTTGGCCTCACCATCTTTCGTTTGTAATTTAGCCTTTTCCTCTGTGTGCTACATCTCAGCCATGTTATCTGACTAATCAATCACACTACTATTCTTACGTGCTTTTGTCCCTAATTGCATCTCACAGTGATCCTTTCTGTCACTAGGACCCCAAGAGCTCCCCTCTGCTTCCTCCGGACCTGTTAAAGAGTCTGGCTGCCTTGGAGGAAGAGGAAGAGCTGATCTTTTCTAACCCTCCTGATCTTTACCCAGCTCTGCTGGGTCCTCTCGCCTCTCTCCCTGGACGAAGCCTCTTTGTATGTATTTGACATAGTTCTGTTTCTTGCTCTAACCACAGCTTCTTTTCTGAGGTTTTTAGAATACTTGGATAGGTGAGATCTTCTTTCTGGGGCTTTCCTCTGTATAGGAATATGAAGTTTATTTCAGTATTGCCAGTTAGTACTAGCTCTAGTTCCCTCAAATTATAGAGTCATAGCCTGGATATGAGTTAGTCAGAAAGTGACTTGTGATGGTCTGCCCATACTCTATGTGATGCTGGCAAATTCACTTCCTTTTTAGGCAGTATGTACACCTAGACTCAAATTTCAGATATTGTATAATACATTATTTAAGGATTTTGAGGTTTTTTTAAACTCTTAAGTGTATATAAAATGTATATAGAAGTTTTAGAATTGATTAATTGAATTGTTTGGCTCACAGAAGCATAAAAGAGGCCTGGTCTAAATTCAGAGTTGGAATTGTAAAACAAATTGGGTAAAAATGGAGAAACTGTCTAGAAAAAGGGTTAAAGACTATAAATGAGTGGCTATGAATATAAATAGTCAGTATAATATAGAATAAAATGAAAGAATTGGTTACTGATATCTGTTTGAAACCAGTCTTCTAGAACCCAGGCTGCAGAACATCATTCTGTATACTCGGTAGTGTTTACATCATTTTAACTGAGGGTTTGGGGTATGAACATAATGAAGCCTCTTCTTCCCTCCCCCCCCACACACACATTTTAAAACAACTTGAAAGGATTTTTGAGTTTTTCTTTCTAGCTTTTTCTTTCCTATAAATATAGGGCAATAATCCATTTATCGGAGAGTCAGAAGAGATAGCTGCCATTCCTAGTCCATGAGTTTGTCTGGGCAGTTAAAGGCTTCCCTGAGGGCGGAAGCATAGATAGGGGCTACAGCAGCTCAGCTGGAATGGCTCCTACTGCAGATGGGCCTTCGTGTCCTTGGCCATTAACTCCTGCCCATTTGCATGGGACTGGTGCTTGTGGAACAGAAATAAATGGGACCTTTTCACAGTGTCTCTGGTTTTTGCTTGCCTTAAAAAAAAAAAAAAAACAGTTTAAAAAAAATAGCCTTTCTTGTACTTAACATAGTTGACAATGTTAAGTACAATGACAGTGTGTGAAAATGCTTTACATATGGTGGATGTTCAGCAAGTTATTAAACTGTTGTCTATTAACAGGAAGCATTAGATCCAGCTTTCTCTCCCCTGACTCCACCCTCAATAACTTTCTTAGGGCCATTAAATAGAAACTCAACTTAGTATGTCACAAAGGCAGCTGCTTTAGAAAACATGGAAGCAAAACCAGCTATCAAAATGGATTTGAAAGCCTTTTAAGGTCAATATTGTTTTAACATTTTAGAGAGTAAAATCTGCCAGAATAATTCATCTTTTGTAAGGGAATCCCTGAGGCTCGTATCTAAAAAACAGTCCTGGTTCCTGTCAGCATTTCTGCACTGGACCAGACAAACACAGAAAAGAAGGTTCTGATTCACCTGTGACAACTGGCACTTAGCTGGTGTCATGGTATTGACAGAGTGAACTTATTATTAACCTTTCCTAAGTCCTCTACTGTGGGACACATAGACATATGCTTAAGTGTTCCTCTTTAACTTGAAAATAGAAGAAATCACCTTTTTTTCCTCCCTCTACCTCGGACTGAAGAAATCCTTACTGGAGAAGCCTTCCGAGCTCATGTCACATTCATCTTCTTTCCTGTCCCTTACTGGGTTCTCTGTCAACCAGGTAAGCAAGGTTAAGAATTTCATTTTATGTTTGTATTGTAGACTGATTTGTCTCTGATTACTGTTAGACTAGTGACCTGTATACAAGTTTGAGCCTTTTAAATTTCTCATCAATACTGAATTTCTTAGAGCTTGGTTGACTTTTTATGGCCTCACATAAGATAGTTTACATAGAGCAAAATGCAGAGTGAAAGAAAGACTAGAAAACGAAAGTGAAAGAAGTTAAAGTCATTGCAAGTCTTACTAAGAACTTTATAGGTCTGCTGAACATCTATGAACATGACTTTCTTAGATCTCTTTTTCTGGGTTGTTAATTTAATCTTTTCAGGAAAGATATCCAAACAGCAGTGTGTTCAATGAAGTATATGGGAAAAACCTGACAACCAGCTCCAAGGCAGAGCTGAACTCCTCGGTCGCCTCCCAGGAAACATCACTGTACTCCCTTTTTGAAGGGACCCCGTGGTCTCCGTCACTTCCTGCCAGTTCAGGTATTAACTCTAGTCCTTAGATTATAAAATTTGCCTTTCCTATACATCCATATTGACTAGACATTAGTCAGATTCTATACGTAGGAGGTTTATATATTGCTTCTCATTTTAAAACTGTTTTGGGGACTCTTTATTTTATGTGTATGACCGTGTGCCAGTGGGGGCCAGAAAGAGAGTGTTGGAGCCCCTGGAATTGAAGTTATAGGTGGTTTTGAGTTGCCATGTGGGTGCTAGGAATCAAGTCTAATACTCTTAACTGAAAAACCATCTCTCCTGCTCCCTTTTATTTCATTTTTATAGTCTTAATTTATAGTAATTCTTAGGATCCAAGATACAGTCAGACACAACAGTGATCAGACAGACTGCTTCCTGGCCTTTATTTGGCCTTTTCTCCAAAACCTTATTACAATGCTTTCACTCAAGTTTTGACTACCACATCTGAAGAAAATGTCAGTTCTTGGTTTGGTGTGAGAAGCCCCTATTTATGTTCTTACGTTGCTCTTACTCAACAGATCATTCAACACCAGCCAGCCAGTCTCCTCACTCCTCTAATCCAAGCAGCCTGCCCAGTTCTCCTCCAACACATAACCATAATTCTGCTCCATTCTCTAATTTTGGACCCATTGGGACTCCAGATAACAGGGATAGGCGTCCTGCAGATAGGTGGAAAACTGATAAACCAGGTGAGATCCACATTTCTTTATCTACCAGGTGAAGGGGAATGACTTGCTCTGATTTTGCCTGAAGTTTGACATTTGCCACTTAGAAAACATTTTGTATTCTTGCCTATTGTTCTCTCTCAGCCATGGGTGGTTTTGGCGTTGATTATCTCTCAGCAGCGTCGTCATCTGAGAGCAGTTGGCGTCAGGCTAGCGCTCCAAGTGGCACCTGGACAGGCCACGGCCCCTCCATGGAGGATTCCTCTGCTGTCCTCATGGAGAGCCTAAAGGTGAGTGGGCGTCACGAGGCTCCTGCCGCAGCATCGGCTCTGCATTCATCCATGGGAGAGTGTGCAAATGTTAAAGGGCTTAGTTTCACCCTAATGGTAAATGCTGATAAGTTTGAGTTTAGCCTTATTTGACTAATTAAGAATATGTAATTGTGTTTTGTTTGCCTAAAACCTTATATTAAACTTACTCTGTCCTGCCATACAAGCTTTAGTAAAGACTTGACTTAAAACAGTTTCCCTTGGACATGTTGGTGCATGTAATCTCAAATAAAGAGTGGTCAGAGTAGGAGGAATGACCCTGGCTTGGGGTTAAAATACTGTAATTTCACTCTTCACAGTGTTAAAATTATCTTAGTTAAGAACTAACTAGCCTTGAGAGTTTCATGACTTTTTAGAGCTGAGTTGATTGGCATTTAGGATCTATTTAAAGGGACATATTTGTCTTTATGGGTGGCTGAGAGTTAAATCCCTTTTAGACAGCCAAAGCATTTGCCCTCTGCTGACAAGTTTTGGGGCTGTTTTTCAGTCTATCTGGTCCAGTTCCATGATGCATCCTGGACCCTCCGCTCTCGAGCAGTTGTTAATGCAGCAGAAGCAGAAACAGCAGCGGGGACAAGGTGCCATGAACCCTCCACACTGAGGCCACAGTAGCGACCCAGGGAATGAAGGCTCCATAAACCATGGCATGTTGGGTTTGCAGGACTGGCCCACACAGTCCCTGCAGGTGGCAGCCCTCTTGTCTGTTTCTTGCTGTCGAGAGGGTGTAAGTGTTCCACCAGCCCGCTGAGTGTGCACGAAATGTTCGCAGTGCAACAAAAAGAAAAAACCATCAGGAACTCTCGTTCCCCCGGGGCTTTCCGGAGGGAGAGAGGAGCTGCTGTTTGTCCCACTCGGTTACTGATAGCACGCCTCTCACCTTCTCCACCGCGCATGTCCCCAACACGTGGGAAGTGGAAGCTGAGAAGGGAAGGCAGATGGGAGAAGCCAATAGGAACTTCTCAGTCCTTTTTTCCTCTTTGGGGAATAAAATAGGAATCCATTATGAGTGCTTTGCTGACTGAGGATGTAGTTGAAATTATTCTTAAACATCTTTTATTATTACTCTCAGTAGCAAAATATCACACTGAATTCTTCCATACACAGGCGAATTTCTAGTCAGTGTGGAGCAAAGACAGTCCCGTTTGCTGCTCCTGTGAGAGGTCGGTGGTGACAGGACAGGGAACTGACCTCTTAAGCCAGTGGGAGTGTTCCATAAGGGAGAGCACAAGGCCTCTTAGAAGGTTCTGGTAGAGGCCTTCCTCCAGCCTGGAAACTCCAGCAGGAAATGCCCTTCACTCTGTAGGTGCTCGAGCCCCAATCGAGGATGCAGTGTGGGTGGTGCTGCTGGGCTAGACCAGCAGATGGCTGCTGTACGATTTCAAATTAATGTTGTTGATTCCTACACTTTGCAGTAGCGTAGCAAGCAGTCTCAGAAGGCAGGCTAGTCCATTCATGGCCTGGAACCCATTTTAGTAGGTGGATGCTTTCAGTGTGGTTCTTTTTGTTGAGTTGGTTTTTGTGTCCCCATCCTGCTTCCTAGCCTCTTGCACCAGTCTCCACCCCTTTAGCCATATGCTGTACCGTAGTCATTGTTTTTCCCTACCATGTACAACATCTCGCCAAGAAACAGCAGCATGGGGCCAGCACTTGGGGCCCAAAAGCTGGTCTGAAGAGGAAGGAAGCGGTAGTGCGAGCATCGCTGCAGAGGAGCCAGGCCCTGCCCAGTCCTAGGCTCCTGGCCTTCACCTTAAGGATGAAGTGGAAGGCCACGGGGACAGATGCACACTGTGCACAGAAGAAAACACAACAGACGCCACTTTGGAGAGGGCAAGAGAAAGGAATAAACTCTTTATTTGATATTTATTAGGAGGAAAGAGGACTGAAAATGTTCTGTGTAGGAACAGAAGGATGGACAGCATTTCTGTTAGTCATTTCCTGGAAAAGTAATATTTTAATGGGAAATTATGGAAAGAATCTAAATGTCCAATTGCTGTGCTAGGGTAAGGATTATTTTCTGGGAGATGTGTGTGTGCGCGTGCGTATGTGTGTGTCCCCACATATAGCTGTCTACTCTCCCAGAGGGCAAAGGCTAAGTGTGGGAATTAGTGTGGAGCTTAGCTGAAAGACAGCTGTAGAGCAAAGCACATCCAGGAGCCCCAGGTGTCAGTGGGGTCTGGGCATCCCTGCAATGAGATGGGGTAAGGTATTGCTCATGGCTCTTCAGAAAGAGTGCTTGAAGCCCCAGGCTCTTTTAGTTTGATATGGTATTTGGATTTTTTTTTTATTTTGTTTGTTTTGTTTTTGAAAGGTCTGAAAGTGAAACCCTTCACTCAATGGCAAAAGAAACTGTCTGTACTGCTCCAGTCCCTCCCTGTGTCCATCTTTGTCCTCTTCCTGTTCCTTCCCTGCTACCTTCACCCAGTTTGTGTATGTAAGCTCTGCATTCAGACAGCTGCAACATTCCGATGTTGGAAATGTCACTGATTCTTGCACCTTAGACCAGCCAACAGGTTTACCAGCTCCCTCCCTGTAGTGCCCACTTCCCATCTATAGCCCCAGTCTGCATGAGAATTTGGTGTTTGGAATGTTTATGACTCTCGGTGGGGTTCCTCGCCTTGCCATCCTCACTGTGGGGTAACGAAGAAGGGGAGGAGAATCTTCATCAACTGGTTTTGTGTAATAAACTTTCATGTTTTGTTTTGTTTTGATTTGATTTGATTTGGGGTTGGTTTTTTTTCCCCTGTCTGTCTGTCTGTCTGTGCAAGATCTGCAGCTGCTGAAATCAGCTTTGCCTTTAATTAAACCGTGTTCTCTCCAACCAGATCTGTGTGTAGAGTATTTATTCTACTGTAAAGAATACAGAAGTAAAAATACAGCTTAGAACTTCATCTGCTCACTTGTCAGGAAGGAACAACGACGGCCACAGCGGGGTAGACTTGAGGATGAGTTTTGCTTAGCATCCAGTGCTTATTGTAGAAATGCTAGTTATAAATGGCTGTCATAGGGACATAGGCTGTCATAGGGCTGTAAAGGCTAGAACAGTTCATTTTGTAGCTCATCAGGAGGCAATTCAGAGATAGTTAGCTTCTGGACTATAAAATTCACTGAATCTGATTAAAAAGCCAACTATTATCCTTGAGGTGGTTTGTTTCTCTTCCTGTTTGTCCAAAGTTTCCAAAGGCAACTTCAACAGTGCTGAAGACCAGGGCCTCACACTGCCTGGCTTCTCATCTAGATTCTGATTCCATGTAAGAGTCACATCCCATCTGCTTTTCACTTGCACTTACACAAATTTGGGAAAGAACAAAACCATACATGTGCTGCTAAGAGTGGCAGGGCAGTAAGGTCCCTAGCTGTAGTGCTCAGGGATCCTTGTTCCCAGTTAACCTGAAGGGTCACCAAAATGGCATGGGTCCTGTCATGTGCATTAGTCTTGAATAACACTTGTAAAGCCCCAGACTGTAAAGAGCTCCCTTTGAACGCAGCCTTTCATCAACCCAATTGTTAGTGGTTTATGTTTACTATGGAATTCTAAATAATAAATGTCCATCTGAGAAGGCATAAAGGGCTATCAAAGAGTTTCATTCTCCATGGGACTGGATGTTGTACTTCATAGGAACCTCATTCAGTCTGCCTTTTTTTTTTTTTTTTTAATGAGTTGTCTGTATGCCTTCAGGATTACATGTTAATTTGCTTTAAGCTTCTGGAACCCAACCTATTAATAAAGGAAGAATATTTTTTCCACTTAGCTGTTGGGCTTGGACACTGGGTGTCCTATTTTTCATAGCAGAAAGGTATACCCATTGGTGTGCAGCTCTGGGGAATTCTGAAGTACATTCACATAGCCAGCACAGCACCGCGTTCCCCCCCAAACAAACAAACAAAAAAACACGTCATGTCCCTTCCAGAAAATTCATCTCCCCCTTCTCCATCCGTAAGGAAATCTTCTGAATTGTCATTACCATGTGTCAGGTTCAGTTTTAATAGGGAAATGTTAGTCTGCATTTTCAAACTGGTATGTTTGTATAGCACACAGCAAAGATGGATAAATCTTACAAAAAAAAAACAAAACCAAACCCACCCTTTTCTCCAGCTCCGTAGATTGTAGCGCATCCTAGGCTTCTCTGGGAGTGCCTTTCAAATTCTTGGCTGCACATCCTTCAACAAAAGCTTTAGGGAAAATGCCAACTTTCCCTTTACACTCCCCTTCCAGCCATTCTTCATTCACTGATAAAAAGCAAAATATACACTGATTACTAAAAATAGGAAAGATTGTACCATCATGAGTGGTCCATAGACCCTGTTAGCCATTCCTTGTTCTCATTTGTGGTGACAAAATAACTGGAAAGTAATTTGAGATTAAAGTGAACATTAGCTTTTACCACCTTAATGGGGTTCTGTTGTAGATGTGGTAAATACACAGTAAAATGTAGGAATTACCATAAATAAGACTGAACATGAATCAGGTCAGATTTTTTTTTATTTTGTGTGGTTTTTCGAGACAGGGTTTCTCTGTGTAGCCCTGGCTGTCGTGGAACTCACTCGGTAGACCGGGCTGGTCTCGAACTCAGAAATCTGCCTGCCTCTGCCTCCCAAGTGCTAGGATTATAGGCGTGTGCCACCACCACCCGGCCTTAAGAAACAATTTTATCTGAGCTTTTCTGGAGTCCACTTTGATAACATGAAAGGGCATGTTGGTGAGTGCCCTAATAAGATTCAAGGCCTTAAAAATTGGAGCTAGTGATGGGTTTAGTGTGTTTGTAAAATAAGCATTATAATAGTCCTTTATTTTAGGCTTTTTATAAAATACAGGCACTGTGACTAAATACTCGAGCCTCAAAGTAACTCAGTTACAACTTACTGTTTCCATTTTTACTAAGGACAGGGATATACAGATACATTCATCGAATTGGATCATATACGTTCATTATATTATCTAGACAGATCACAGAGGCATTCAGAAGTTGTCTTTGGGTATTAGAACCTTCTTGCCTAGATCCTACCTTCAGAAGGGCAGGGCCAGCTCTTGGAAAATAGAAGCTGGGAGATTTCTTAAGTTCCAGGTCAGCCAAGGCTACATAATGAGTCCCTGTCTTAAAAAATAAAAACAAAAATCAGAGCCGGGCGGTGGTGGCGCACGCCTTTAATCCCAGCACTTGGGAGGCAGAGGCAGGCGGATTTCTGAGTTCGAGGCCAGCCTGGTCTACAGAGTGAGTTCCAGGACAGCCAGGACTACACAGAGAAACCCTGCCTCGGAAAAAAAAAACAAAAAACAAACAAAAATCAATAGTGTGGGAGTGTGACTGGGCATTAGTTTTCCCCAGCTTCTCTCTGGATACTGAAGTGTAAACCACTACCTTCACCCTTCCTATTTACGGATGGGTATGGGTTAGAAGCATCATCTTTGCCTGGGTTTTAAGAACATATCTTAGCCAATGTCCACCTGCAGAGAATACCAGCAAGTCACAAGCATGTTAAAGTTTAGGAAATACTTTATAAATGAAACAAACCAAGCCATCCATCACTGCTGGGAGCAGTTGAACTTACTCCCAGCTCCAGGTATGCTGAAATCTGTCTCCCATTGTTATCTTGAGTTCCACTACAGGGGCCCACTTCCCAGCTTAAACCAGAGACTTCCATGAGTCATAGGATACAGTGTCTACGAAAGGTTTTTCTCGTGTGTTCTCTGTTATTTTGCCCCTGACACTACTACCACACACACCAACGTTGGATGTTACACAGTGGTGCCACGTCCTTAAGTCCAGTCCTTAATTGATTTTCCAGTCTCCTTTGAAAGAAAACTTTTCTTCTTCATATGCTCTGTCCAGGTAAGCTTCAGATCTCTCAGTCTTAGATTTACTATTCTAATCAGCAGTATGCTACTTTTCATTAGTGATGCTCAGGCTTTGTGAACAGAGAAACGGCTCGACTGAATCACAGCAGTGCTTCCTGATAGTAATTAGACCAGTGTGCCCTAGGAACTGCTGAGAAGTGCATCTGACCCAGACTCGGGAAGAAGGGCCAAGAAGCTTAACCCTTCAAAGGATGCCTAGGCATAATGATTCTTCATTATGAGAATCACTGAAGACTTCTTCAGTTACTGCTTCACTTTTGTGTGAGGGTGTCTGTGTGTGTGTGTGTGTGTGTTGCATAAGCTTCTGCACACACAAGGGTCAGAAAAAGTTGAGTGTCCCACTCTATCCGTTGTTCCTTTAAAATGGACTCTCACTAAATCTGGAACCGAGGTCCAGCAAGCGCCACCAAGCCACCTGTCTCTGCTCCCATAGCACTGGAGTTAGAGGTATGAATGTGGCCACACCCAGATTTTCACATGCATGCTAACACCAACACTGTTACACTTCCTGCCCATGTCACCGTATAATCCCTAGGTTCCGGATAGTCAGGTAAGTCACTGACAATTGGCTGCCTCTACAGCGGAATGGGCCTCCTCTTCTCTCTGGAAAGTACTTGATGGTTTCTAGCAGAGGCTAACTAATTCCAGCCAGTTACATTCTGGAATAGTCAGTATGTTGTCATTTTGTGCCTAGTAAAGTAACAGGAGAAAGCCACACACTTGTTTTGCTTCCTCTTACCAGAAGCTAGGAAGTCAGTTGAAGCTATCGGCTAAGAGTTGATGTTTTCCTTTGTCTGCCCTTGACTTTGGTTTTGCTGATACATTTGTGAGTCTGGTTCTGTGGCCTTGGAGTAGCACTTACCATGGGATAGTACCAGGATTACATCTCCTTCCATAAACTCCAGGTCTTCTGGCTGGGCAGCCTCATAACTGAAGATTGCTACCACCTGGGTTCCCTCCTTAGGCTGAGGCTCTGTTGTCTGCTTATTGGCATCAGAGTTTTTCCTTTCCTTGGGTTCATCTACAAGACCTTGATCACCCTGAAATGGTAAGGGGCCTATTAAATTTGCTAATTCGTAGCCAGCAAATACTGAAAACCACTAATGGAAGCCGATGATGCTCACTCAGTACCTCCTTATGGGCCTAACACAGTCTATGAGTACTGAATGGTTGGGTGCAGAACCCTATGTAGCCCTAAATTGCCTTACATAATAAACCTTACAACAGTCCCAGGGTAGAGTAGGCATTGTTCTTCTCAGATTGGAAAATAATTTGAGCCACAAGTAAATAGCAATCTGTGGTATAAATTCAGCTAGTTTTTTTTTTTATCATATTTCAGGGGGTGGGGAAGATGAGAGGACAACTTGGGCAAATCACTTCTCTTCTGTGTAGATTCCAGGCTCAAGTCATCAGGCCAGGCAGCAAATGGCTTTTCCTGCTGGTCATTCTGCTGTCCTTAACTAAGCATTGAATTCACCCCTTTTCCCTGGCACAAACATTAAGAATCTATCTCAAACCTACTAAGATAGCATTCCTAAGAGCCAGCTCTAGGTTCTGATACTCTTGGTTCTGATACTCTCTAAAGCTTCAGAATGATGACTTTTAAAAATATTTTGGGACAGGAGCCTTGTTTCGGTAGCTCAGGGTTGCCTGGAAGTCATAATTCTTGTTTTAGCCTCTAAGTTATGAGTTTACCGATGTATGGTACCATGCCTAGCTGTTCTTTAAGGTGGTCCAATGAGGTGGAAATATCCCCACCAAATCTACACTGGTTTGATTTAGCTTGACCTAGTTTGGGTTTTGTTTTCTATTTTATGTGTTTTGTTTTCATGTATGTCTGTGCACCACGTGCATGCCTAGTGCTGCCATGTGAGTGCCAGGAATCGAACCTGGGTCCTCTGGAAGAGCAACCAATGGATTAACTGCTGAGCCATCTCTATAGCCCAGTCCAAGGATCCTAGATTTTTATACCTGCTCCCATTTACGAGCTGTGGGTTCCTGAGTAGCTGTGTAGTGTCTCTGAACCTGTTTGTTCAGGGAACATGGCAGTACTGGAATCTGGCTGCTGGTGTCTACATGTTGCTGCACTAGGCGGACACACAGCAAATGGCAATTTGCTTTGCTTCTCCTAATTAGTGGATGAGAACACGTAACAGCCTCTGTGGGCAACAGTGGCAGAGGACATCAGCAATGATGAGCCCGGACGGCGTTCTAAAGACTTGCGTTGGGAGTTTGGGGGTGGGAGAGATCGGTACATAGAGGTGAACATAGACCGGCCTCATTGAAGGAATAATTCACAAGGACATTCTGAGTGAAAGCACTCACGTTTAGAGTGAAATCCTTTCTAGACGAATGTCCCCCAACAGAGGAAATTGAAGTTACCCACACAGCATACACTTATTTAACAATCGAAAGAAGTGGCATCAAAATCCACTTTATAGGCTGACAGAAAGCAAATGGAGTCACTGTAGTGGGACAGATTGAGAAATGGCAACTTCTCTCTGGAAACTAAGGGACAAAGTTCAACTCTTCGCTCACCACTGTTGCCTCCGTTGTCCCTTCTAGCCTCTAACTTTTCTCCTGACTCCTATGAATCCAGTGAGACCTATCTAGACTTCACAGCTAGTAAGACAGCTTGGCCTTGTCACTACAGCATGGTGATAGAGCCAGGCACTCCGCCCCGAGTGGCTCTGGTGACTTGGTCAGGTCACATGACCTTTCCCTTATTTTCTAAGTTACAACATGTAATATACCAACATGTATAGGAGCACTGGGGGCTTTCTAAGAATTCCTTCACAGAGTGCACTTGGCTCAGGGTCTAACCATGAGCATTCTCAGTAGATGCCAGCTCTGCGGGAGAGGCTAATACTCCTTTGTGAAAGAAATGCTTGCTGTCTCTGATCATCCTCAGATGTTCCTCATGGGAACCTGAGGTGAAGAAGAGCTATGAGCGCAGCTTAGCTGTAGCTTCAGGCCTGTCCTTGTTGCAAGTGATGGCCATGATCCTTGACCCAGTCCATCTAGTGGAGGCAGCTTGAGGCTTGCCATGCACTTCTGGGCCCCACTCATCTGAAGCCTTCTCCCTGCTGTAACTTGATGAGCCTGTAAGCCACTGTGTCCCCATCACTGAGCCAACGTGTGACACGCAGGAGATGTTGGAAATGGCCTTAGGTGCCCAGCTCCCTCCACTCACCACTGTATGCTCACACCAAAGAGTCAGGCAATAGTTTTTCACTTGGCTCCAGGCATCCTCCATGCTTTCTTCTGACAGGAGCAGAAGCTCGGGGCTGTCCTGACGCTGGTAGCTGGTAGGGATGGTGGGTAAGGACCGAGGCAGAAAGCATCAACACAGAAAACATCCCATGGCCAGTCCTCTGCATAGGCAAGACCCACCCCCACCCCGCCCCACCCCGCTCCGCCCCACCCCATCGTCCATCCCTGCTGCATCCCCAGATGCCAGCTCCATGGGGTTTACCTCAGTTTAGTGTATTCTGGCAAGAGCTCCAGCTTCTTAGACACCATGTTCCGGAGCTGACTGTAGGGGAGGCCAGGCGTCGTCTCCATGACGACTGTGTATTTGTAATGCACCTTGAGTGTGTAAGGCATGGGCACACTGAGCTTCACTTCCTGAGGGAGGACGAAGAAAGAACACCTTAGTGGCTGAAGCTGTTGGCAACATCCTGGACCACCCCGGTCTTCCACCACTTTGTGTACAGGCACCAGGAGTGCTCCAGGGGAAGGGGGATGTTTAATAAACAAACAACTGCTCTTTACCAGTTAATAATAATAAGTAAAAAATCAATAAACAACTGTATATTAATAAATAAATAATAAATAAGTAAATAGCCAGTTTCTGCATTCCCTGAGAGGCCGTCAAAGGGCTCCAGCCCAACACACTGAGCCAGAGATTTCTACTGACCCATGTACTCAGCTAGGGGCTAGGATGACATGTGTAGGTGTCCCTGGTCTGTAGATGGAGTGGCAGGTGGCAACTGGTTCAACCCCTTTCATTGATATTCCACAAACTAAGAGATATCCCGCATTAGACAAGCCACGATCACCCATCTTCTTTACTTGGAAACAGAAGGAAGAACCTACCTTGGGCTCTTTTTGCTTGTGACCTAAATGGAGAAGGAGATGGTAAATGAACACTCACAGTGGCCCCTGCCACCCACAATGCCCATCTCCCTACCCTTTAACATCCAGGGTGGATCTGGAAGAGCATAGAAAGTACAACTATGAGAGCAGAGCTGGTGTCTGCTTCCAGGGAGCCGCAGGTAGGTCACTATGGGGACTGGTCCAAAGGGCAGTTAAGCCAGGAGGCTCCAAGATGGAGAGAAGACAGACATGCGGTGATCCCAGGCCCCAGGCAGAAGCACCAGAACAATTACCATTTCATGGTCATGTTGTTTTGTGTATGTTTGTAGTCTAAAATGCACAATATGTTACCACAGCGGTATGTATATAAGAGAAGTCTGAGGCTGTTTACTACTGAGGATGTAAGAACCTCTGCGCAGCTGGTTATTAGAATCCCTTAGGGACTTTTGCTAACATCAATCAAAGGCCTAGGAACCTGGTATTCTAATCTTTCCAGTGTGTGTCCCTTCATGAACCTCCAGACAGAAAAGGTAAGAAGACAAAAACTATGAGGGACACGGGATGGGGCCACTGAGACATTTGCGTGTGGAATAAGTGATATCTGTTCATGGTAGATGGTCTGGATGAGAAGTACCCTCCTTAGGCAGAAGCCATGCTTGTTCACAGGGGACTTCTATCCAGGTAGGCTCGATCATTGTTCTCTAACGTGGAGACAAGGCAAGTACATGATGTCAAATGTGTGCACGTGAACAAGGCCACATGCCCTGACATGCGTAGCTGCCAGAGGACAACTTCTTTGTGGTGTGGAATCTCCAGTTCCTGCTTTATGCAGGTTCTTGTGATTGCACTCAGGCAATCTCAGGATTGTGCAACAAGTGTCTCTTGCTATGGAGGCACCTGGCTGGCCCATAGCTGCTGTATTTAAGTGAAAAGTGTTCAGTATACCCCACTTCCAACTTTTCTGTAGGTTTGCAACTTTCCAAATAGTATGCAGGGGAGGGCCACCAAAGCAGTTTTGGCAATCAGGTGGTTATAAGCAAGATGTCTCTGTCATCTACATGACAATCTGCTGAAGCTCACCGGGAACAAAGAGTCATCATTTTCCCACCCCAGGTTATGAGAAATCAGTGTGGAAAGTGTTCCTATCCACACCTTCCAGTGGTCCTTTGTTCAAGCCCCAGGGTTCTGCTCTGCCAACATGTGCACCCCAGTGGTTTGACAAGAGCTGAGGTGAGACAATGCACTTGCTGCAGCCTTCCTTCTCCCAGCTGCTTTAGGTAGTTAACAAAGCATCATCTGGTGACATCTCTGATGATGGTGACTGTTTTGTTGATGGTGACAGCTCTGATGATGGGCACTTACAACCCTTTTGTCTGCACTCATTTCTAAGCAGTGAGGGCAGGGCTCTGGCATCATGTTTCAGTGGGATGCTGGATGGTGCAGGCAAGACCAGGCTCTGGGAAAATGTAGTCATAAAGCAAGGTGCAAGCTGGGTAAAGTAAGGGGCATGCTGGGTAAAACAAGGTGCATGCTGGGTAAAGCAAGGGGTATGCTATGCAAAGAAACCAGAATTTCCAAAATGTATCTGAAAACAGCTGTCTGTTTTCATGAAGCATCTGAGAGAGAGCTCTTTTCCCAGGGCCACCAACCTGGTGACAACTGGAGTCTTCCTGGGGGACTAGAATTAGGAGGTGGTGGAATATCGGTTCCCAGGGAGGCGTCTTCCTGGAGGTGATAAGAGGAAACAAAAAGTTCAAACAAAAACATGAGAGCTTCCTTGGAAAGTAGCTGGATGCAAGCGGCTTCCTCAAAGTGTAACGATGTGACACAGGGAGATGACTAAGGAAAGGGGGACTAATTTTCAGCAGCAGTAAGAACCCTGACACCTACATACAACGCCCTTTGCCATCGTTTCAGCCATGCTGAAAACCCACCAATGTCGGCTAACACGACATGCTTCTGTCTCAGTACTGAGAAAGGGAAAATTCCATTTCCCATTGGCAGGGAACTTGAAATTTCCAAACACCTCAGCTTTATGACTTGGCAGGGAGGCTCAGCCCATGTGTGTCTCATCAGTGTGAAGAGAGAATACCGGCTGTCATCAGAGTGCCAGGTAGCTAAGGATGTCAAACTTCTGATCCTCCTGCCTCCACATCCCACGTGTTAGGAGCATATTGCAATCATGTCTGATTTGTTCAGTGCTGAAGATTGAGCCCAGGGCTTCATGTATGCTATGCAAATGCTCTACCAATGGAGGTACATCCCCAAACTTTAGTTCCCTTCTCAATGGCATTATACCAAACATGTCGACTGTGCTCCCTGGTGAAGAAGCACACCTGGGAATACCTAGCCCTAACTGTTAGGCTTTGCTGCCTAAGTCTCCCTGACCAAGAGGACTCACAGAGGTGGACCAGTCCAGTGGAATAACTCAGCTCTGGGCATCTGATACCAGTTTGAGTGGCCCAGAACTACTGAGGTTTTGTTTTTTTTTTTCCATGACAGGGAGGTCATCCCTTTCATGACCCTTTCAACTCTAGAGTTGTGAGAAGAGTGAGAGAAACAGGATAGGCCTTGGCACAACAGTACCTGGGGCTGCGACTGAGGGTGAATCCGAAGCTCAACTGGCTCCAGGTAGTTGCAAGGGACAAGCCCCTTCTGCAGTGTCACATTCCAGAATCCAGAAGGGAAAACAAAGACTCAGTACCCAGAACACAGAACGACCTGCAGCCGTGGGTAGGGACAGCACACAGGTGATAACCCTTGGGAGTTCTGCAAATAATGCAGCAGATGCTGTCCCTATGTCCTTAGCACCTCCCCTAACCCCTCTCCAATACCTGTCCATTGAACATGACTGTGGCCCAGTTATCACTGCCCTTCTTCAAGACAAAGACGATGTTTCCGGGCATGACCTGTAGCTCTTCTGGTGTCTCTGGCACAAAGCCAAACAACACTCGGTGTGCCTCACCTTCCAGAGCCCTGAGGGGTACACAGAAGACCGAGCCCATCATTCAGCTTGGACCACATCTCCGTACTGGAGAAGCATCTGAGGCCAGAGACTTAGCTTGGTGCTCACTCTCAATCTCTCCGTCTTACTGCCTACAAGACCAGTGCGGTGTGCTGCCTAGGACCCCGGAGAAGACTAGGTGAGAAACCGCACATGAATGAGTTCCATAACCACACAGGCATTCCCCTTGTCCTCAGGGAATGTGATGTGATCCAAGAACCCAAGAGCTAGGAAAAGCCTTGTGTACCCATGCTTCTCCTACACCTACACACACTAACGGGATGCTGCTCACTGAAGAGCTGAACACACTGCATAACATGTTTGCAACTCACGTAGCCTGAGGTGTGCCACCAGATCCAGATAAATTCTCTTCCCTTAGCACTTAATGGACAGGACACTCTGTGTACCACACCAGCCCCCATTACTCATCCATTTTATTTTGTCTTCATTTCTTGAGACAGGCCGGCCTGAGTTTTCAGCAATCCTCCTGCCTCTGCCTCTTAAAGGCCGGAATTAGAAATGTGAGCCTCTGTGCCTTGTTCATTTCCCTATCAAGTCAACTTTCACATTTGACCATGAGTGACAACTTTATAGCTTTGGCATAAACTCATTACTGCTCTCAGTATTACCCTTGCGTTTTGGGTCCATTGTTAGTGAACACAGAGGGGGTTTGAACAAGCACCATGAAGCTGTGCCAATCCTTCCCCAAAGATAATGTTTTTGCTTTATTTTATTGAACTTGCTTCATTTCTATTTTTCAAAGCTTTAGCTATCGTGTCGGGGCGGGGGGGGGGGGGGGGGTGCACAGGCAGCGCCTCTCCCCTCTGAACACCTCATGATCACGGTTTTGGTTTTGTTTCCTTTTGCTTTAACTAACATACACGGTATTAGGTTTCATGCTGGGATTTTTTTCAAATGAAATTTGATTTTGTTGATCTTGCCTCCCTCTCTTTCTCTCAAACCCCATTCCCCCTGCCCCAGGACCTTTCACATACACACACACACACACACACACACACACACACACACGCGCGCCCCATCATCCTCCTGCGTTCATGTCTCAGGTGTCCCATCACCCTCTCCCTCCCTTTCTTTAACCTTCCTTTTGTACTCTCCTGGCCTGACAGACGATCCTGTGTGGACAGACGTATGGACAGACGGCTCCTGAGTGGCTACTGAGGGGATATATATCCCTGAGGGGATGAATCTCGGGCGGGTGAGATTGCCTCATGCTCCTCAGAATGAAAAGCAATTTAAAACGTCTTGTAGTTGTTTCTTTGCTTGTTTCTCAGACAAGGAGGGGGATTATTTGGCTCTAGCTGGCCTCTAAACCCCCCCAACCCCCATGTAGCTGAGGCCGGCCTCCATCCTTATCCTCTTTTCCCCTCTAAGGAGGGAGTTAGTTCCCAGGTCTTGTCTATGGTAGACAGGAAGTATGGGCAGGGGAGTAACAAAGGCAGAGGGCAGTGAACTCCAGGACGGCCTTGTAGGAAGGGGTGGAGAGCCAGAGGCGGGCCGGGCAATGAAAGGCACTGAGGAGAAACTGCAGCATCTTTGCTTTATGTTAGTTAGCCCTGTCCTTTCCCCTTCGTTGACCCCTCAAGGCCCCAGCTACTCCTCCACACACCTGGAGAGTCTCATTCATGCCACCTCAGTGTGTGAGGAAGGCTGCCCAGGAAACTACCCGTGCGTGGGATGTTCGTTCTGCTCAGCCTTGCCCTTGTTTGCAAAGTCCCTGCCTGGTATGGGGAATGTAGCCTCTTCAGTCTAGAGAACTTGGGAATGAGCTCCTTCAGGCCCTTCACTTTGGCATCACCTGTAGCACACACACACACACACACACACTTTTCCTGACCTCTCTTTATTGGGGGGGGGAGAAAGATTTGTTCCTTAGAAGGATTTTTTTAGCTGAGGTTAGGCCGATTTGCTTCTCAGCTTACTGAGTGACTTCCTTTTCTTGAGTCTTTCCCCTTCTTCAGAAAACATGAGTCAATGGTGAGTGACAACTCCCACACAGGAAGAAGACTCTGTGATAGCTTCAGGGATCTAGAGAGCTTCCGAAGGTCCTGTAGTCAGTATAAAACTGACCTATCACCGACCTCTCACCTCTGACCTGGGCTTCACATCAATGGCCTCAGGTTCTAGGGTGGCCACGTCCATTGGGACACCAGGTTGCTGCAGCCAGGTCCTCAGTGGTCACCTCACCAAGACTCCCATCCCAACAACATCATTCGGTTCTGACCTTAGACAGAAGCCTACCATCCTTCAAATCCTCACTGTCAGCAAGTCAGACGTAGAGTGTGGGCATTCTGCAAGCAGACCTAAATCTAACTTACCTGAAGATCTCTGGGGTTTTGGGTCTGGGTGGAGGCTCTGCTGACTGTGGAACATTCAGGAAAAATGAAGAAGGGGAGGATGGTCAGAGAAAGAGTGAGGGGGAGGGAGAGAACAGACTGTTAATGGTAATTTGGAACATTGTTCCAGATCTGAAAACAAAGACTTCTTTTCTGGGTGGTCTCTGGGGAAAAGGCACAATTCGGGAAACCGAAAGTCTGCCACCCACTTGGGCATGGACTTCACCAGTGCGGCAGCTACATGATCCGGAGCTGGTGTCCTGAGAAGGTTTTGTTGACCTCGAACCTCAACTGGACTCTTTCCCAGTATTTTTCAAAAGCTCTGTTCTACAATTAATGTTTGCCACAGTATGTGACATTTCTGGGTATTTAAAATCAACTCAGCATCCACTGGCCAGATATGGGTCTCCCTTTAATGTATACTCCCTGTTCTGCACTGAATGTCATAAGAGTATGTCGTCTGGGACTTTCCTTCCTTGTCCTCTAGCTGGGCTGAAACTCCTGGGACCACGGCCAGCCTTTCTCCAACTTTACCATGCCAAAAGGAGTCAAGGAATCTAGATGCTGGCCCTCTTTCTGCCCCTGTGCTCATTCTGTCCCCACGGCCCAAGCACGGGTCACATCACGGTCAGGCAGCAATCATCTTGCCCCATATTTGGGGTGAGGATCAGTGCTACCCTAGAGAGTGTACATACAGATGGCAGGAAGGTGACCAAGGTCCTTGCCTCTGCTAGTGCTGATCACTCTTCTTACCCATCACCAAGCTCGAGGTTTCCTTAATCTGCTTCACTGTCTTCCTGTTACAAGCTTTGTCTGTCTCTGCCACGTGCCATTGGGGCCATCTCTCTGAACCCAGCTTGGGCTGGCACCCTTCCTTATTCCATCCCCCACAACCCACACTCCTGAACCCACGGAGAAGCTTTATTACAAAACTTCTCCAGTGCAGGGGATGCTCAAAGTCCCATGAGGTGATCAATGGATCTCTGAGGACTTCAAAGAGTGGACTGGGATTTGGAAGAGCCCAGTGATATAGCAGGAGAACAGGAGACGGAGCTGACATCCCGACCAGCCATGTAAACTGAGACTGAGAGTCAGCTGTGCTGAGAGGTGGCTGAAGGATGTGATCAGTTTGTCAGCCCAGTTCCTCTCACAGGGGCTATTTCCCAGAGAGATCCGGCCTCACCTGTGGCTGCAGAGGGGCAAAGCCAGAAAAGTTGTCTTGGTGAACCACAGATGCTACAACCTGAAACAGACAGGAGAGAGTGAGCACGCTGTAGCCAGCTCCATTTGCCCGTTGTCTGTCTACTTCCAGAAGACCTCCTCCTTCCTCCAAACACAGAGCCATTGTCACTCGTGTAGGTCCCGGAGGGAGATGGGAGGTAAGGCATCTCTTCTGAATTAGAACTTTCACCCTTTCTTTTAGTAAAAAAGAAAAGAAAAACAGAAAAGAAAAGCTGCTGGCATTCATATAACATCAAATTAATAACCATTTTAAGTGAGAATTCTGTGTCATTTCATACACCTGTCTGGTGCCAAAACATTTTAATCATCCCTCACAAGAAAATGTTGGAGCCACTAAGAAGATTATAGTCAGGACTGGAGAGACGGCTCAGCGGTTAAGAACACTGGATGCTCTTCCAGAGGTCCTGAGTTCAATTCCCAGCAACCAAATGGTGGCTCACAACCATCTGTAATGGGATTCAGTGCCCTCTTCTGGTGTGTCGGGAGACAGCTAAAGTGTACTCATATAAATAAATAAGATAAATAAGTCTTTTAAAAAATAAAATAAAATGCATTTTAAAAAAAAAGGATTACAGTCTCCTCTCCTAGCCTGGCAACACAAGTTTGTAAAGACTTTATATAAATAAAATATATAGCATGTGCCTTTTCTCCTCATTTTTCATGGTGTGTGTGTGTGCATGTGCGTGTGCGTGTGTGTATCATGTCTGGGGGCACATCCGTGTGTGTGTGTGAACATGCAAGTAGAAATTGCAGGTCAATATAAGGATCATCCTCAATTTCTCTTCCACCTAATTCAGTGAAACAGGCTCTCTCAGTCAAACTCCGAGCTAACTTCTATGGGTAGTCTTGCTTGCTTGAGGATCCTGTCTCCACCTTCTGACTCTGGAATCGCCATGGCTACCTGGCGATTAAGCAGGTCCTAGGAATCTGGAATCCAGTCCTCATGTTTACACAGCCAGCACTTTAACAACTGAGCTATCTTCCCAGCCCTCAACCATGGCATTTGTGTTTCTTCTAGACGACATACATCTCCTCCCGTGCTGTAGCATGCATTAGTACTTTATCCTTCTTGTGGGTGTGCAATCCGCCTTATGGACATGTCACACTGAATATATTCATTCATGTATTGATGGCTCTTTGGGGGAGTGTTTCTATTAGTCTCTGTGATTCTGCCAGGTCCAGCTATCTAGACTGGGCAACTCACATGTCCAAACTGTCAAAAGTCAAATGCAGATTGGATAAGGTCCTACTACCTTACCTCAAGTCATGTCTGAAAGAATTTAAAACCTGTGTTCAGAAGAAATGGAGCTTAAAGGAGTCTGAGCATAGGGCTGAGAAAGCGGGAGGGATTACCCAGAATTCTGAGCAGTCTATTTCAAGAGCATCAAGCCAAGGGCATCATATCCTGCTGGCCCTCTCCCATAACACTCTCCTGACTCTCAGCGAGCCCCCACTATGTCATTTTTCCTTTGCCTCTGTCCCAAGATTCAGCATCCCAGGAGAAACCTTAGGAATTGGTGAGGGTTGGAATGATGGAAGAAACTGGAGCGTCCTCGAGAGAATAAACTGGGAGTGTTTGTTCCTTACTGTCAACAAGATCCTCACTGCCATCCCTGAATGCCCCAGGGTGGGGAGCGGGGGCGTGTCTTCTTGAAGCCCTTCCACCAGGCCCAATGCAATCCAGGACACAGGAGAAGGGGAAAGATGGACAGCCCACCTACCGTAGCCTTGCCCAGATAGTCCTTTTTGGCCAGCTGAGCCACCTGCCTCTCATTTGGACGGAACAGCCTACCCACAGGGATCACCACAGGCTCGAACAGCTTCTGCTTCTGTAATAGAATGATCAGTCACATGTCACTCGGCAGTACTGGGTTCATTCTGAGCCATACGCTGTTAGATGAACCCCTGTGAGCATCATCAGAGAGTGTGCCTGGACAACTTTGGTGCTTCAGTTATCGTGGAATATGTGATTGGTTGGCCCAAACATCTTTGTATCTCTCAGGACTGTATCTCTTTGTCTGAGAATGGGAGTGATAAAACCATTCCTGCTTTCCTCATCAAATGGACCATGAGAAAACAGCTCAAGAGAAGAGCTCTTTCAAACCATAGCGGCTTGTTATTTGAGAGGGCTATGCAGGAGCGGTTGGGTTTATTTATTATTAATTCTTTGGGAATTTCAATGCATTTTGACTGTATGATGGTTTGTATATGTCTGGCCCAGGAAGTGGCACTATTAGAAGGTGTGGCCTTGTTGGAATAGGTATGTCACTGTGGGTGTGGGCTATAAGACCCTCATGCTAGGCAGCCTTCAGATGAAGATGTAGAACTCTCAGCTTCTCCTGTACCATGCCTGCCTGGATGCTACCATGTTCCCACCTTGATGATACTGGACTAGACCTCTAAATCTGTAAGCCAGCCCCAGTTAAATGTCCTTTATAAGACTTGCCTTGGCCATGGTGTCTGTTCACAGCAGTAAAACCCTACCTAAGACAGATCGTATCCAGCTAACTCCTCCTTTTAACTCCTACAGATCCACCTTTACCTCCTTAATCTTCATAACGTTGTGTCCTTTGTTTATCTGTTTGAAACAGGGTCTTGCTGTGTAGCCTTAGCTGGTTTGGAACTCACTATGTAGACCAGGCTGGCCTGGAATTTACAGAGATCTGTCTGTCACTGCCTCTGGAGTGTTGGGACTGAAGGTGTGTGCCACCCACCATATCCAGTCTCTTTCTCTTTTTAAAAATAATCCCTTAAGTCTAGTTTGTGTTTTTTACATTCTTCTGTATGTGGCTCTCCACTGGAGTATAGTTAACCTATCAGGAGACACACCCCTTTAAAAAGACTAGCTCTCCTTCCCTTAGAAGTCACCAACTGTCCATAGCTCTTCAATTAGGGATGGGGCTCATGAAGCCCTTTCTGCTCCATGCTAAAACGTTGATTGGCTTGATCCTCTACAGGCAACCACAGATGCTGGGAGTTAAGTCAATCTGTGGTCCTGTCATGTCTAAAAGATACTATTTTATTCTGGTCCTCCATACCTCTGGCTCTTACAATTTTTCTGTCCCTCTCATCTGCGATGGCCCTGAGCCTTGGTGACAGGATGTGACACAGATGTCCCATTTGCATCTGAGCACTACTCAGTCATTGATTCTCCGCCCTTAGACAAACTGTGGGTTTCTGTGTTAACCACCATCCACTGCTCCACTGCAAAAAGAAACGTGTCTGATGAGGGCAGAGGCTGTGGTAAGCTGGTGTGATACTGTGCCCTTTTAGCCAAGTGGGTCACCATTGGGGCCTGTGAGCTCCCCAGTGATGGGTACATGGTCAGTTTGCAGTAGAGGTGTGTGTTGCCGCCTTTGCAGTGGGTCCTAAATTCAATGATGAAGCAGTTGGTTACCCCGGAGCATTCATACCACCACTGCACCCCTGGACAGATCTGACAACACTAATCATCACTTCAGTTCACCAGGCTCACAGCTGAGTAAGACTTGTCTCCCAGCAGCCTGCATAGAAACTTCTAGTACCATCAGAGCTAGCCAGCATGGAGGATGCTTCTTGGTCACTACCAACTTGATTTCTCCACATCCTGTGACCAGTGTGTGTGCTGTCTTAAGCAATGGGGTTTTGTTGGAGCTACCCTACACAGAAGATGATGCTCATCCCAGAAGCTCAGTGCCAGGGATGGGAAACTTCCCCTTGAACCATCAGACAGGAGTGTCCAGGAGAGCCCCCCCCCCCCAAAAAAAAAAGAAAAACAATACAGACTATTTTCAATGCTCTTTGTTGTCTACTGGAAGTGGTTGGCTTTACCATCACCTTACGTTGGTATTATTTACCCAACACTCTCTTTTTCTCAAGCACTGACCCTTTTCTACTCTGTACAGTATCTTGAGTTTCTGTCCCAGCATAGAGGACACCACTACAAGGATGGCTCAGGAGCCAAGCAAGGGCTCTGGCAGTGCTCTCTCAGGAACAAGTATTGTTCATGTTCACAGGCATACAAAAACTCAAGTCCTCTTTAAATACAGTTTATTTAAAACTAACTTTAGCCGGGCGGTGGTGGCGCACGCCTTTAAATCCAGCACTTGGGAGGCAGAGGCAGGCAGATTTCTGAGTTCGAGGCCAGCCTGGTCTACAGAGTGAGTCCCAGGACAGCCAGGACTACACAGAGAAACCCTGTCTCAAAAAAACAAAACAAAACAAAACAAAAAAAACTAACTTTAGGGGAGCTGGGAGGCAACTCAGAAGTTAAGAGCACTTTCTGCTCTTCCAGAGGACCAGAGTTTGGTTCTCAGCCCCCACAGTGGACAGCTCACAACTGCCTGTAACTCCAGCATCGGAGGATCCAACACCCTTCTGGATGCTATGGCCACCTACCCAAACATGTACATTCTCACACATAGTCATGTAATAATCTCCAAATAAAGAAAGAACACTTTTGCTTCCCAATGTAATCAAACTCTCTATGAGCGATCATCTTCACAATTCCTTGGCAGAACTGGAACGTTCCTCTGGGGACCACGTTGAACTCGGCACTGTGCTGGACAGCTAAGACTCAGGGCACTCGAACATAGCCTCTGTCTTCACAGTGCTTGGAGGCTGCACATCCCCAAGAAACTGCAGATACTGCCCATGGATTTACTCTAAGAGATCCAGGGGCTGTACTGTTCCATTCTCTAGGGTGTTGCTTCTTAGCGCAAATACAGGATGGAAGATATTGAAAGAGTGTTTGTTGGCCAGAACCAATGAAGAAAATGTTCCACCATCATGGTATCCCAGGAAACAAATGGGTCTCCAAGGAAACCACACTCACCCAGATGCTCTCCATGGCCTTGTCAATTTTGGAGTGCCTGGGCTCAGACTTCATGTTTGTTGCCAATGCTAACTGCTCTTCTGCTTTTTTCCATTCCTCTTTCTTGGCATGCATGAGAGCGATATTATACAGCACCTAGAAGAGCAGAGGCCACATGAAACTTCAATCTGCTCCAAAATACAGGCACCTGGGAAGGGTCCACATGTACACACAGGGAATGCTATCTTGTGACATAATTCCCTTCCCCAGGGAATAGCTAACAATTATTCTAGCTACTGAGTTACGTCAGACATAAACAGTGTTAAGAAAACAATTTATCATGCCTAAAGCCAGTATCAACTGCATCCTCTGACAACCAAGTATGTCAGGAGGGGACAAGGGCTAATGTGTTGTTCTAATATAGAAAAGAAGAGCTTTTCCTAGGCCCCCTGAGGAGGCAGAGACAGAGCTGAGGAGGAAAAATGAAAGTGTGTGATCTCTAATTCCTGCTCTTAGCATTGAACCTGGATTGAGCCCTAGGCCCAGCAAGGTGGGAAAAGGTTCCAGATGCATTGTTCTGAGCCAACAGAACCTGGCTGGGATTCCATGAATAGCCCGACTGTAACATAGCAGCGCACATGAGACAACTCCATGGTCAAAGTCTAAGGGAGGTGGAAAGAGAGTTGCTGTATATAGAGCCCAGGGAAACACATTAGCTGCAGTGGGGAAGGGAATGGCAGAAGTTCCCAGGCCATGAGCTGAATTGTAGGTTCCTCAGTATCTGCTTTATTAGAATGCTGCACAATGTACACAAGAACCAGTTAAACTTTTGTACATATTAATAAGATAAAAGAATGTTAGGAAGTTCTGCAGGGCTGTTCCGGAGCAAGGATGAAGGCCTCTTGCCAACAAACAATTCTACCATGCTAGACACAACTGGGTGAAGGGACTGGTGTTTCCATGGAGTTAGCAGCTGGTGCTGATGCTGGGAGCCAGGATCAACCCCAGAAGCAAAGCTCTAGCTTCCCTTTGCCACTCAGCTCTGAGGACCAATGAACTGATACCTTCTACATAGGTCATCATTGGCTTAGAGTGGTTGAAATAGGGTTTTTTTTTTCCACACGTATTTATTGCATGTGTGAGTCATAACACATGTGCAGAGGTTTGAAGACAACGTGTAGGAGTCAGTCCTTCCCTTCTACTGACTCTTATTCTTTTGGGTCCAAAAGTTTGAACTAAGGTCATTGGCCTTAGCTGCAAGCAACTCCAACCCATTGAGCCATCTCCCCAGGCCTAAGGACTCAGGATTTGGACTCAAGATTTAAAAAAAAAAAAACCTTAACTATAGTACAAAAGAGAAATACACTCAGTAGAAAGAGGACTTCAGAGTTTTAATTTTGATCTTTCCCCACACTATTGACACACCACAATACCCTCTTGCAATTTGGTAGTGTCGTAGAGCCTTGCCTCCTACTCGACAACCACAAAGGAAAGCAAGTGGCCCACTGGGGGAGGCGAAAAGGTTGGTGTGGTGTGTGGGGGTGGGAAGTGTCTCTGCCACCACCGTGACCAGCAGAATAAAAATCCATGGGAGACAAGAAGGCAGCTTAGTTCACCACAACTAAGTAGCTAGTGTTGGTTCAAACTCTGACCGTCTGACCCCGAGTAGTTTATTTTAGGCGTATTTAAGCACAGCAGTTTGGCTTAAAACTCAAACTCAAACTCAGTCAGTCCTGTGTGCACAATAAAGCACAAAGTAAACTAAGTAAAGATCAGAGGTGACGACATAGGAACTCTCTAAAGGACATGTGACATTTTCCATAAAGATGGGTTCTGAGTGAACCGGGTGGTAGTATATGCCTTTAATCCAGCACTCGGGAGGCAGGGGCAGTGAATTTCTGAGTTCAAGGCCAGCCTGGTCTACAGGACAACCTAAGGCCAAACAAAAAAAACTCTATCACAAAACAAAAAGAAAAACAAAAGATGGATTCTATAGACTGGCTGAGAAAAACAAGCTTATGGTAGGGTCTGGGGAAATCACGTGTGGACTTGTCTACACATGAAGGTCACCAGGCTATTAGCCACATCTGCCCCAGGCTTCTGGGTTGACAGTGGGTTATGCATCCCTTCCTTTGAAGGAACGATAACACGTGGTTAGCATCCCAGGTCCCCTAGTGCCCATCTGTGAGCACAAGAGGCTCCATGCCTGATACAACACGGTGGTATGCTGTGTCATAAAACAATGATGCACGTGGGGTAGGAGTGTCAAATGCATTTTTGACTTAAAATAACGTCCACCTTAACCCAGACTGAGGGTCTAGCTCAATTAGCAGAGTGCTTATATAGCATGTGCTAAGCCCTGGGTCTCGTCCCCAGCACTACACAAGCCCTACTGGGGGCTTGCCTGTGACCTAAGTACTCTGGAGGGGAGGTAGGAAGACTTGGCTACACACCAAGTTTAAGGCTAGCCTGGGCTACAAGAGTCCCTTTCAAAAAGAAGGAGAGAGGGAAGATGAGAATGAAAGAGAGAAAGAGACACACAGAGAGATAGACAGATAGACAGAGAGAGGAAGAAAAGCACAAGAGACAGAGAGGCAAAGGACAGTCAGAGGCAGAGACACAGAGAGAGAAAGACACAAGAAAGAAAGAAAGAAAGAAAGAAAGAAAGAAAGAAAGAAAGAAAGAAAGGGAGAAAGGAAGAAAGGAAGAAAGGAAGAAAGAAAGGAAGAAGAAAGAGAGAGACAGACAGACACACAGACACACAGACACACAGACACACAGACACACAGACACACAGAGAGATGGGTTTTTTATCTGGACGGAACCTGTCTGAGAAGCATGTGCCACAAACCTGGCTGCCCTAACCTATTTACAACATGTGACAGAAAAGAGATAACAAGCTTTAAATTTTTTTATTTTTTTTCTCAGTTACCTTTTCTTGAGGCCTTTCCCCATAACCAATTTTCATGACTAAAAGGACCTTGGGACTCCTCCACAAGAATGGCTTAAGTAGGGAAATGACTAGTTTCCTGATCCCTGGGTTATTTTGACTCTAACAACAGGGAGGGCTCCCTCCCGTGAAGGAGTTGCTTGGTACCACAAGGACCACTTCTTTTTCTAGAGCTGCCTGCTCACCCCTTCCTACCTGTAAGTGACAAGTGGCCCTGGGCAGGATAAATGGCAATGTTTGGAGACCATTTTGATCATCGAAAGGTGAGGTGGGATGCTTCTGGCATCTAGTGGGGAGAGGCCAGAGATAGAGCCAAAAATCCCACAAGGCACAGGGCAGACTCTATAACAAAGCGTTTGCTACAACTTACAGAGAGCAGTAATCCCTGCCCTGGGGGAACCAGCCTCACGCCAGCCAATCCCAAAGCAAGGGCACATCTTCCCTTGTGAGCAGTGGCATAGCTGTGTGCCTGCTACAGAGCAGGATGGGCCACAAGTCCCCAGGGACTCGGGCAGAGAGAGAATCTATTTTTATTTGCAGCTCCAAGCAACCCTGGGAACGCTTCACTTCTTGTGCCTGAGAAACCAAAGCGAAAGAAGACGTTTGTTCTGCAATGCTTCTAAATAAAAGTCAATGACATTTCCAGGGGTTTTTGTTTTTAAAGCTGGTGGTATATATTTGGAAGTTTGATAGGGAAGGTTATTTGTGGAAGAAAAGTTCATAAACTCACAACTCAAAGCCAGCCATGCCTGTCCTTTTTAGTAATACAGGGAAGAATTGTCCTTGTTTGGAGAACTTCACCTCACTGTGTACTTAGTACTTCTCTTCAACAGTCCTGTACCAAATGGCCCACAGTCTCTCTTCCAGTGTTAACCGAGTACCCGGATGGGTTACAATGGGCTCCTCACAGGCGGAGAAGCCATGATTTTGAACATGATAGGATAACGCTGAGCAAAAAGCTTGTCAGCTTGAATTGCTGAGTAAAATATGCAAATTGCTGAGTAAAATATGCAAATTACTGAGTAAAATATGCAAATTGCTGTGACTACTCTCCCAGGCCAGCACACACTCCTGTCTGGTCTCCCTTCAAAGCACACAATGAGCTTATTTTTACGTTGGCTTTTGAGTCAGAAACTAAGAAAAAAAACGTTCCCTCTCAGGTATCTAATGACTCTATAAGGAACCCGAAGTCATCGAATCTCCCTCCCCTCCTCATTCCTTTCCTCCCTCCACCCCCTCTCCCTTTCTTTCCTCCCTTTGTCAATGCTGGAGTCAGATCCTGGGTCTCACACATGCCAGGAAAACACTTTTTCACCTCTAAGATACACGCATCTCAGTGTTTTCTTAACAGACAACCCGAGTCTCAAGGCACAGGAGTCACGTGACTTCGGCAAGCCTCTGGCAGAACTAACAGACCACTATGCTTCCCAACCGTCCTCTCCAGGCCATCCCTGCCCTCCTTACCTCACAGGCAAATAGCTTGAACTGCAGCCCCAGGATCTTGTAGTCTATCAGCTGGTTCCCTCGAAGCTGCGTCAAGGCCTCTTTAAGGTCTTTGATAGCAAGGTCGTATCTGTAGGACAGGGGCAGAAGAAAGCTGTTCCCGCACAGGTCATGGAGAAAGAAAGGCAGAACCCACATCTCTGTGTTTCTCCATTCCCTGTTCATCTCACTAAAAGAACCCCTCCTGTTCTGTTTGACCTTCTCCCTTTTCACCAACCCTGAGCTCAAAGGCTCTACAGACTAGGTATGATTTTTGCACACTGGGGCTAACCAGCACAGCTTGTGGGGACCTTCAGTCTATGACAGCAATGAAGATTCTTCCTCTCTGGGTGTTGTAGACACAGTTCCCACCTTTCTGACGACCCGAGTGACCTTCAAACACAGCTCTCCATCTCCCTGGAGAGCTCCAAGCAGGACTACCCTCTGGTAGAGTCTCAGGACAGAGTCAAAGCAGTCCTCACCACCCTCACTCAAGGACAGATCTGCCTGGCTCAGCTGCCAGGGCTTCCCTGGTATAGCTATAGCTGTGGGCACCACCCTCTGGCCCACAGCCTTCTGTATCTCCTGTTGAGTCCAGTTTAGCTTTTGGTTTTGTGGTCTTTTGTCTCCTCCACACATTCTGGGGAAGGGAGAAGTTATTCTCACACATATCTCAGGCTATCCTGTAAGGAATGAGAAGGTAGGCTTCCTGGACCCCTCTCTGTAAGCACAGGCTGTGCGTGGCTGGCTGTTCCCCTGTAGCAAGGAGACGGCAGGTGGAGGCGCAGGTGTCCTGTGCTCTGAGCAGATACAATTCCCACTGTGTTCCACAGCCTGTTTGGGAGCAGGGAAAATCTCAGAGGGGACACTTTAAGTGTCATCAGCACTGACTTATAATCGTGCCTGCCTTGCTCCCTGCTGAGTTGGCTGAGCAGGTGGTTTTCAGCTGTGGAGATGCCCTGAGTCTACCTGGCACTGTAGGGACTCAGCAAAGTTCTCCGTGTAATTCTCTGTCTCATCAAGATGTCCACAGTGCTTTTTTAAAAAAAAAACAAAACAAAACAAAAAACAAAAAAACAAAAAACAACAACAAAAAAAGGACAAGTTACCCAGAGTGATTGTTTTGTGTGAAGAAGCTGGTGGGTGGGGTAGCTCTGCTCCATTTGTTGATGCTGTTATTTTGAAATAGGGTCCGATGTGTCCAAGGCTGGTGTTAAACTCAATATGTAACCTGGGATGACCTTGAACTTCTGATCCTTCTGCTTCTACTTCTCGAATGCTGGATTTCACTCAGTGTATGCTGGGGATCACGTGACCTAAGGCTTCTTGCAAGCTAGACAAGTGCTCTACACTTCCAGCCCTGATGTCCGTATTTAAAACTTGCCTTTACGCAAATCCCCCTCCCCCCAACCTGGCTGCAGCTTCTCTCCTCACCCCTGCGCTTGTGACCTCAGCGGCACCCACGGCAAGGAGCTCAGCTTTACCACGCGGCTTTGGATCCCGCTGCACAGGTCTGAGCAGAATCCGTTCTGAAAGAGGTCCAACCTTACTGGCCCCCTTCGAAGTGCCCTCAGGTGCCATCTGGAGGCTCCCTAAGACATCTGCGACACCCCCAAGAGCAAGCAGGCTCTCGGCTCCAGAGGACTTTTCCTTGGCGTTTCTGCCGCAGACCCCACAAGGATTCCTTAGTAACTGCTGAAGCTGCTGTTTGCCTTCTGCTACCAACACACACACACACACACACAATCTAGAGTCCCAGAGCTCAGACTCAGGAATAAGAGCGTCTCAGTGAGACGGAGGAGTCAAAACAGGCAATAACTCCAGCATGGTGCCCGTGCAACACCAACAGGTAGACAGGGCCAATCCTCCCAGCCCAGCAGGAAGAAGGCCTTGCTTCCTCCCTTTTCTCGGCCAGCTCCGCCTTATTCTGAAAGGTTTCACTTGCTTGTATTTCCACAGTCTGAATTTCCGGGAGGCTCAGGTATGAAGATAACTTACAGTGCCCTTCCCCACCCCCTTTCTTTGGAATGACAAAGATGGGGACAGGGAAGTTTGGTGGGAGGGAGAGAGTCACCCTGAGCTACCATCTGCTGCTTGAGAAACGCCTCTGACTTTGCTCTGTTAGAATTTAAGACAAGCAACACTGAAGCCGGGTGAATGAGTAGTCGGGGGAACAGACTGTCCTTGTTAGGAATGACCCCGTTAAGACAAGCCTCACTGCAGTGGAAAGGAATGCCTAACCCATCTCTCTAGGTCAGTAGGTCACTGCACTTCCAGTCTGTTCACGAACCAGCTTTGCTCTGCACCACAGTCACAGGCCTTGATGACTTGGTTCCCCTCCTTTTAATCTACACTTTTCTTAAAGTAGACATTTGTCTACCTCATGAGATTAACTCAACTCATATAAAGAGTATCACTATTAGAAGGTGTGGGCTTGTTAGGGGAAGTGTGTCACTGTGGGGGCGGGGCTTGAGGTCTCATATGCTCAAGACATGCCCAGTGGCATGTCAGTCACCTCCTGCTGCCTGTGGATCAAGATGTAGAACTCTCAGCTCCTTCTCCCGCATCATATCTGCCCAGACTCTGCCATGCTTCCCACCATGACAATAATGGACTAAACCTCTGAAACTGTAAGCCAGCCCCAATTACATGTTTTCCTTTGTAAGAGTTACCTTGAAGACTGGAGAGGTGGCTTAACAGTTAAGAGCACTGGCTGCTCTTCCAAAGGTCCTGACTTCAATTCCCAGCAACCACATGATGGCTCACAACCATCTGTAATGGGATCTGATGTCCTCTTCTGGTGTGTCTGAAGACAGCTACAGTGTACTCATATAAAACAGAGTTGCTTTGGTCATAGTGTCTCTTCACAACAATGAAACCCTATGCAAGACAATAGGTCTGTAAAGACTTTGTTGTTTAAAAAATTCCAAAAGAGCCAGATATAGTGTTCGCCTGTAATCTCAGACTTTGGGAGGTAAAGGCTAGAGGACCAAGAAATCAAGGCCAGCCTCAGCTTCAGAAAAGATGTTGTGAACCAACAAATGACTTAATGAAAAGAAAAGGAAAGGAAAGGAGAAGAGAGGAGAGGAAAGAAAAGGGAAGGAGAGAAAAGAAAGGTTAAGAGGAGCTGGAAGGCAGGTCCAGTGTAAACTTTTATCCCTCAAGCCGGAGGACCTGAGTTCAGATCTCAAGGACACACATAACAGAAGCCAAGCACAGTGGCTGGAGAGATGGCTTGGTGCTTAAGAGTCGTGTCTGCTCTTGATGAAGACTGGGGTTTGGTTCCAAGCACACACATGGTGGCTCATAACCATGCGTCAGTTCCAGGGAATCTGATACAAGCTCTGGACTCCATGGGCATCAGGCATACACATGATATACATATATACCTTACATATTTGGACACATGGAGGACATGGTGCAGATGGGTTTTGACTTTTACCTTTCACCCCTTGCTAAAAACCCTTAGATTACATTCCTAAAACTAGCCCCAAGGTCTATTTCCTTATTTGGCCACTTCTTCCTCCTGAGGCTGACTGCCAACGTCCAGCTATCAGAGGCCCCCTTTTGGCTAATTCACAAGGCCAATCAAAACAAACCAACCTACCCTAACTCAGTTCACTTTTCACCTATATAAAGTGTCATTTGTCAAGGTCCACATCCTTCTCCTCTCTATCCAGAGAGGGCATCCCTCCCCCCTTTCCTTTGTTCCTTTTTTTCTTGTTCCTTATTCTCTGATTCCAGTCTTTGTCTTTTATTCCATGCCCTTTGACACTCTGGGGCAAATAAATCTCCTTTTTGAGAACTTGGTCTTGGTGTGTCCTGGGCTGACTCTGGTCCTTTCACACATAAAATAATCTCAAAAAAAAAAAAAAAAACAAAAAGCCAAGCATGATAGTATATGCAGAGACAAGTGGATCCTGGGATCTATTAGCCAAATGAACAAAGAGGCCAACTCTGTATTCAGTGAATGAGCTCTGGCCCCAAGGGCCACTTTGGAAGGCTTTGATCTGAGGGTGTGGTCAGCCTGTAAAGTGGAGTGCTCGGCTGTTGCTAAGAGCAACCACTAGTGCTTACAGACCTTCAAAGGTTCTCTGTAGATGCAGTCAGTTACTGGAGTGAGAATAAAATGGAAGTCTTATTGGAAGAAAAGTCACAGACACTGGTGTGATGGTTTGTATATACTGAGCCCAGGAAGTGGCACTACTAGAAGATGTGGCCCTGTTGGAGTAGGTGTGGCCTTGTTAGAGTAGGTGTGGCCTTGTTGGAGTAGGGTACAGTGGGTGTGGGCTTTAATACCCTAGTCCTAGCTCCCTGGAAGCCAGTCTTCCACTAGCAGCCTTCAGATGAAAGATGTAGAACTCTCAGCTCCTCCTGCACCATGCCTGCCTAGACACTGTTATGCTTCTATCTTGATGATACTGGACTGAACCTCTGAACCTGTAAGCCAGTCCCAATTAAATCTTGTCCTTTTAAGACTTGCCTCGGCTGGGCAGTGATGGTGCACGCCTTTAATCCCAGCACTTGGGAGGAAGAGGCAGGCGGATTTCTGAGATCGGGGCCAACCTGGTCTACAGAGTGGGTTTCAGGATAGCCACGGCCCACAGCTACACAGAGAAACTCTGTCTTGGGAAAACCAAAAAACAAACAAACAAACAAACAAACAACAAAAAAACAACTTGCCATGACACCAAGACTTGCCATGGTGTCTGCTTACAGCAGTAAAACCCTAACTAAGACACATGGAGACCATCTGGAGAAGGGGCCAGGGTTTGGGGAAAGGTGGAGATATCTGCTTCTACAGACAATGTGGCTGGCTGCTCACCTCACAACAGTCTCTTCTCATCTCTGCTTCCTGAATCCAGGATCTTCTCCAGAGGTGTAGAGTGTCTACAGAGGCCAGCCACATCCCACCCCACCCCACCCCACCCCAGCCTGTTCAATCTCAAAAGACAAACTCCAAGGTCTTCCTTTAATTATCCCCTATAACCTATGACAATGAGACAATAGAAAAAGAGAACAGGCTTCCAGAAGGAATTTCTACATGAAAATATCAGAAAGTTTCAGAGCCTGGAAAGCTAAGATTTTGAATAACTCCAAGGGGAAAAAATGGGGCTGTGGGGATTGGGAGAGGGGGGATGACTTAGACATGGTAGCTTATGCCTGTAGTCCCAGCATTTGGGAATTGGAGGTAGAAGGATTAGGAATTCAAGGTTATCTTCAACTAACAGCCTTTACTACATAAAACCATGTCTCAAAAGCAGAGGAGAGGTTGAGGAGAAAAAAGGAAGGAAGAAAGGAAGGAAGGAAGGAAGAAAGAAAGAAAGAAAGAAAGGAAGGAAGGAAGGAAGAAAGGAAGGGAAGAAGGAAGGAAGGAAGGAAGGGAAGAAGGAAGGGAAGAAGGAAGGAAGGAAGGAAGGAAGGAAGGAAGGAAGGAAGGAAGGAAGGAGGTGGGAGAGGTTGGGGAATCCAGAAATAAAATGCAGAACTCCATCTGAATGATAATGGTTAAATCTGAGAAAAATAATCTGCCAAATTTGATCTTTAGGTCTGCAATTCTCTAATGAGGAAATAATAGCAGTCTAGCATATTCTTAGCCTTAACTATCTCACTGAGAGATCCCTAGGAAGTATTTTCCCTGAAACACACCTGGTCTCAGCAGGGCTTGCATTTGAAAGCTCATTTGTGATCTTTTTTTTTCTTTTTCTTTTTTTTTAAAGTTTATTTATTATGTATACAGCATTCTGCCTGCATGTATGCCTGCAGACCAGAAGAGGGCACCAGATCTCACTATAGATGGTTGTGAGCCACCATGTGGTTGCTGGGAATTGAACTCAGGACCTCTGGAAGAGCAGACAGTGCTTTTTTTCCTTTATGTCATCTTCTCCAGCCCCCATTTGTGATCCTTAAGGAGCCACTCTCTATCACACCACTCAGCTCCATGTGAGCAGCCAGCTACTGCCTGTGTGACATTGTCTACTCAGAATATGCCTGCCCTGTGCCTTGTCAGGGTGACCACCTCTGAAATGCACTTCTGGTCCTTGTACTAGTGCTGCCCTGGTTCAGACCCTCATTGTTCATGAAGACAACTGTGTTCACTTCCAAATTGAGTTCCCAGGCACCAGTCTTCTCCCTTTGTTCATAGTCTAGAGTGACTTAATGCCTCTGTGATCTGCTTGAGAACTTCCAGGAATTCATTGTCCATTCCTCTTCAGGGCATCTCAGCCCCCCTCGATGTCCTACACCCCAGCCTCAACACACTCCCCCAGTTTCACTGTTGGAAAATTCTTCCTTCCATTCTTCAGCCATTTTCCACTTCCCTAGAACGTGTGAACACACTTGGACACTTTTCTGAGTCAGCTTGCTGTCTGACTTTGCCTAAAATATCTGAAATTCACATTTCAAATATTGCCCCTTTGAGATACGTGTGTGCCTCTCTCTCTCTCTCTCTCTCTCTCTCTCTCTCTCTCTCTCTCTCTC